AAAAAAAAATAGTGAGACAAAATGGAAGAATTTAATGTTCCCTCTACATTAACTCCAGAATTGCCCTTTTTATATAGTAGGGATATATCATCTATTGGTTTGGCTATAATTCTTGCTTTCAGGCTTTAGGCAAGAGTACATATAGGAAGATAGAATGGAGTTGACAATAAATTTCTCGCTTTTGGTTATGCTATATCATAAATTCCTGAGTTTAACAAATTACACAGTAGGGAAAGAAGGGGAGGGAAACCAGCCCCCTCGAGAAAAAGGATCAGCCTCTGTGCATCAACCAACAAAACTAAAGAACGAGGAAAACAAGAGAGTCTGCAAGAATAAGCAGAAATACAAACACTTAATTGTCAACAATTTCTTTAAAATTTGAATGTTAAATTTACATTGAAGTCACAGTCGTTGGACTCAAAACACTAATCAATGTAAAAATGTGCTGCCTAACCAAAAAATGAATAAATAGAGAAACATTATACAGGTTACAAGCGTATTAATATTATTACATCTGATATACAGAAGATCACTGATCTATCGAAAAACGGAATTTTCACCTGTCCAACCAAAATAAGGCATGTTTCTGCCTTGATCAAAAACGTGAAAATGAATAAAAATTCTGCAGAGTGATTGCTGCTGTCTTGTAGCCCGTCTTCTCGTATGGAAGTCGACCGTATTTCTCCTAAAGTTATAATTGCAGTCTATTCTCTAACTGATGCTGACATTACCATCCATGTACAATCGGTACAGCAGTTTCCCAACGACATATTTGATAGGAAGGATTATATAATATTGGAAAGTCATTATATAGTACATAGTTCTTTCCAATACTGCATACCAAACATGCACCAAATGTACTAAAAACGGGTAATCTTGACCATCATATATGAAAGCCTTGTAGGATCCTACCAGTTCAAATCACCAAATTGAAACCAACATCGTCTGGATTTGTCATCTAAGCCCCGTACACATACTCCTTTTCCAGTAAACTGAACATGACCATTAGGCGCTGCTGAAGATTTGAAGTAATGTTCTTTGTGATCCTTTTCTTATGTCGGGTGTCTTTCAACCACGCAATCCCAAAGTAAACTTGAACACTACATCCTACAGATCTAGAAGGTTGGTCTTCAACCTGATATCTCAAATGAAGCTGCAAATAAGCACAGCATAATAGTCAACAACATAGGGAATGTTTGGTTGGACATGTCCAACCAAAATAAGGCATGTTTGCTCATAAAGTTTACTGATAAGTTACAAAACAAATATTTTTTCATTGGTCAAAATAGGAAAAAGTTTAAATAATTTTATAAAAAGTGTTTAAAAGTTTATAAAGAAAGCTAACTTTTTTTTTAAAATAAATCCAAAAAAAAAAAAATAAAAAAAAAAAAAAAAAAAAAAAAACTTAAAAAGGGAACTGTATAGCATGAGAAGAAATAAGGGGAAAAAAAGGATACACGTCATTATATTATAAAGCTTGTTAAAGGTGCTAGTGAACATACAGTGAAATAATCACCCAGTGGAATCCCATGGAGTGTCATGACCTCTTCTATGAGCCAACCATTTCTACTCGGAAGACGAGACTTTTGCTGAGTGCTAGTCACTTCACCTCCATAACGGGATATACGCTTTTCAAATCTGTAATAAAGTTGCCTTTGATAAACATCAGGCTTTTCAGATTCCCAAGGGCTGTGAGTATAATTGAGACATCCAGCTCTCTCCATGACCCTTTGGTCGATTTCACTCCCTCTGAATAGCTCCATAAAGAAGCTAGTCTGAAAATGCAAGTGACAATAATTCTGAGGCAATCAATCCAAAAAAGGAAAAAGAAAAAGAAAAAAAAAATGCAAAACAAATGCGAACAATGATAAGAGATTGGGTTGAGAGAGGAGGACGGGAATGATACTTACTGGAACAGAGAGTATCGAGGAATAAACAATAGACATATTAACATACTCGGCGCCCAAGATGGAGCCAGTATCCTCAGTTTGAAGGCCTTTGGCATCAGATTCTTCATCTATTGGTTGGAGGCTGCCTTGGAGGTTTTTGGCTGTTGACTCCTCTTCAGATGTTTCGAGGCTATTATCTTCAGATTCTTCTTCAACTATTTGTACCTTCTGCTCAAGAGTCAATGCCTTTGCCTTCCACAGTGCCATGATTGTCCTGTACGCCACACAACATACAAGTTAAAAGACAATTTGATTCCATGGCTAGACTTATTTCTCTCTTGACAGTCGAGGTTAACAAAGAGCGAAGGTAAGGCAGAACAGATGCACTTTTAGGTGAAGGAATGATAAATTGACGACCAAATTAGCACATCTTTAGGATGAAAGAAGGAGCGAACGAGAAAGACATGACGGTCCTATCAAATGTAAACACTTCTAAGGGTGAAAAGCCAGGATGTACCTACACTCTCCCGGGACCCGCGAGCGAGTGTCCGATACATGTCAAAAACGCCAACTAGTGTGTCCAAATAAATTTTTTGATTTTGTAAAGCTCGACATGTCACCTTACACATTGCCGTCGGAAAACCATACAACACCGACATGTTGGAAACACCAAGTGGCATGTCCAAATTATTTTTTTGGTTTTGTATAGTTGAACAAATCATTGACACATTGCCTATACGCTGGGAGAAGGACAAAACGCAAAATATCGTAGATCTTGGAAGATGACTTTCAGTATCTGATGGTAACAGAACTTATGGAGTTTATAGAGCAAGACTAAAAATAACATAGACATGAAAAAGAAAACATTCACAAATTCTGTCTAAACAAAGAAATACAACCAATTTATAACTGAAAATACCTGTGCGCCACGTTGAAAGACACAAAAGAGTGGAAATAAAACTTCAGCCTGCCTTCCTCGTCCTGTGTTCTTGCTCCATGCCTTGCGTCAAAACCTCTGCCTGGCCTTAAGGTCACGATGATGATCGGACTGCCCATTGATGACAAAGTAGGAGGAATGACTTCAATGTCTTCTATGTCTTCCCAGAGAAAGAAAAACTTTGTCTTATGTCCAAATAAATCTGCATGAAACCCAATTATTCTTGCTGACAGAAACAGACGGCCCTGCCAATGGAGCAGTAATCAGTTACCGAGATACAACTTAGAAAAACAAGAATAAGCAAAATGTCCTCAATTTGCAAGTGTTTATTACCTAATTTCTGTAAATACAGGTAGATGTTTTTGAAAAATTAAGTACCTGAAGAGGCATTCTGCGCTTCAAGTGGCAAGAAAAATCATTGATGAGAAATTCCTCTGGGGGAAGCCCAAAGAGTTTCTGGAAAGATGAATTTGTTTGAGGAGATCGCAACCGTATCTGGAAATTTCAAGGTCACCATATTAGACAGCTAAAAAACGGGTGATGCTACAACCAGATAACGTAAACCAGTTGTAAAGTGAATTCCATTTGGCAGAGTACTAGGTAATTTACCTTCTTTCCCACCTCCTTCTCCATCTTAGTTATATAATCTTTGACAGCATTGCTACCCCGGGTATTATCTAAAAATATTCTTAAATGCAACTTTGACTGGCATGCCTGAGCTAAATTTCCTTGAAGTGGAATCCAAACATCCGACAAGTCCGTTATATTAGATTTCAAGAAATTGATTTCAGCATGTCCAAGAGATGTAGCTTCAGCAAAAGGTCCATCAAAATCAAAAACTTCCACATCCAACATTGATGGAGGATCGTCCATTGCATCGAATTCGAAGATTTCTGCAAGGCACCACAATCACAAGAAAAAGATTAATCTAGTGATGAACCAACCAATTATTAAAGTATATTATTAGCTCTATCAAGATGCAAACACCAGAAATGTTGCCATACACAAAGTTATCGAAATGCTTAAGAGATTATAGAAATACCATTCCAGTGAGGGTCAGATTTCTGAAACTTGATAGAGCTGGTTTTCATTTTTCCATTGCAAGTAAACACAACATAAGGGTCAAAGAACCCGCTCGCATCAACGGCTGCCAAATTGCTTCCTTCTATTAAGGCAACAGTTAGCAACCAACCATGCCCTTGTGCTTTGATTCCATGGTCGGTGCCTGTAATAAACAAAAAAATTATTGAACCAAGTTAAACTTATTGAGAACAATTAACATTTTTTAAATACCGAGAACAGAGAAAATATAAACAATGCAATAAAAACAAAACTAGATTTGAATTTAAAGCTAAAACTTCATATAATCATATAAAATCCTGAATTTAACTCAACTGAATAAGCAATAATATTATATTACCTTTGTGCACTCTAGCCTGCAAGAAGCGTGAAACAGACTCAAGGGCCCGTTTACCTTGCAAAATTAACACTCCACATACAATCAATTCGCCAATGGAATCCGGCAAGTCCAATCCAACAAACTCAAGTCCCTGAATTGTGCTAGGCATTGCCAGCCAGATATGCATGACCACATACAAGCCCATAAGAAAAGTTGAAATTACAGTAAAATTAGCAAAATACTGAACAGCCAATTTCCAGTCTGACTGGCTCTCCACCTGAAAAGAAGCCAAAAGTTGATCCCTCTCGGAACCTATGTCCTTCACATCAACAGGAATTACTTTAGTAGATAACAGATTTGCGTACTGCTCAAAGCTTTCCTTTATACCTTGTCGTGTTCCGCCTTCAATCATACCTTTCATCATAGTGCTCTGTAAAAAGTTAACACGCCATGAAACTACCAATCGAGAAGACTGGTTTCCCGAGGGCTGCTCAGGTCCCGGAGTTATGCAGTAAAGCACTTCTACCCTAAAACATTTCCCATATGGAGCATCTGGAGTGCTCACACTGGATAAAACTGCATAGACCTTCCCGTCAGCAATCAAATATGTTTGCTCCTCGATAGCTTTCAAAGCCTTAATTAGTTTACTTGCAGCCTTAGTATAAGTAAACACTCTTTTTAAGCTATTGCCACCATTTTCAAATTTCCAAGGTCCTATTTGCAACTCAGTGGATCCCTGCATGTCTGTTAGGGACTTCAAAAAGTCTGACTCAGGTGAAAAAAGTAACGAGTTCATTTCACGTGGTGCAATTGCGTACACTTGGTCTATAACTATCCCTCCAGGTAAATTATTCGGAACTTCACCTCCTTGTTCTCTCATTTCCAAGCTTTTTATTACTTCTTCAAAATTTCCAGATGAGGACTGCTCTTCAGAATTGGTCCCCAAACCAACCGGATTTATACTTTCTGATAACTCTGTCACGTTAGGTGATTCACCCAAGTTAGTTGGTGTTGTATCAACATTTCTGTTGAATATTTGAGCAATTCGATGTGCTACAGTTGATGGATGTGACTTTTCCTCTTTAGAAGTTGAAACTTCTTCAGATCTCATTGGTGAGAACGATCTCAAAGGAGAGTCCACTGCTATATCATAAGACTTCCTTGGTGATGATACAGGATCACCACTGGACGGCAAGTCCAACAATGAATTATTTTGCAAAAAGCATATTGTGAGAAGAATTTCACCTGGCGGAATACAAGAATAAATGTCAATCGGCAAATTGTGAAGTGATTCAAGACTTTAAGGCAACAATGATAATTTAAGGATGCGTAAGCATGATGAATTTAATTTAATTACAAGAAACTGTGTCATTTGATTACACTTCGTGATACAATACCTAACCAATCAAGAATAAAAGAGGGTGTACTTTCTGAATGTTCTTAATCCGAATTCACCCAAAAATGAAACAGGACTATCAAAGCTGAAGAAAGTAAGCTAGCAAGATAGAAAATTTGTAAATAATCTATAATTTCTTAGACACATCTGTAAAATGTCACACATCTGTACTTACGATTGAACTCAAATACTTAAGTACCTTTTTTGAAGAATTAAATCACTTCAAATTCAAATTAGAAACATAGGATACAATTCTTCAATTTGCACAACTGTTTGTCAAACCATTAAGTTTTTCAATGATGCATACTTCAAACGTCCAGACCCATTTTAGACGTCTAAAATCAGTTCAAAACAACCAAACCATTTTTCTAAATTTTTCAATATTCAAATCTCAGTGTCAAATGTCCAAAAACAAATATATTCAGATGCCTAGCATAGTTTCACAAGTAACTAACGAGCAATTTCAGCCCTCCCTCCTATACACAAACACACCCTTGAAAAACTAAATAGGTGCCTATAAAATATTTACAATTGAAGAAACGAATTTCAAGATTCCAACTCTTCCATAAAGGATGCTGCTACTTAAGTCTAAATGTTTCATCCTATCATTGCATCAAAGAAATGTAAGAAAGCAAATTCAAATTTGTTGATGAGCATTTATTGTCATTAAATACTACTAGTAATATATGACAAGAACAACTCATTAACTCCCAATTAGCTAAATTGAGCAACATACCACAGTCCTTATTGACAAGAACAACTCATTAACTCCCAATTAGCTAAATTGAGCAACATACCACAATCCTTATTCTTGGCTCTCTTATTCCTAGGTTGCAATGTGTACCAAGAAGTTCCAAGAGATTGTTCATTGGCTTCAAAAACCCGTATGATAGGCACTTTGATATGCCCAATATAATCATCGATTAAGTACTTATCTTCATCAAATACTGAAATTACAATCTCTTCCTTCAAGTCTCCAACTTTGAAAGTAAATTCCTCACACCATGATGGGTTCAAGCACTTCTTTACAACTTTAGTCCTGAACCTCTGCCTTCCCAACTGCAGCTTCACATATGGATCGCTGAACCCATTTGGGTCCATTGCTGGTAAATTTTTTGCTTCAATTACACGTACCAAAAGCTTCATATTGAGCAAGAATCAGTACAGTAGTAACCCTTACCAGTTTTGATAAATTAATTTACAGCTAAACAATATTGAATTTTGTGGAAAACGCTTGACTTGTAACAGATGCATGAAATGTAATGAACTAAAAGTAGTATGAGAATTGTCTTTTAAAATCAAACCTTTGGAAGACAGTACAAATATAAACGAGGGCAAAGGGAAAGAAAGGATCCTAAAGTTTGAATCTTGGAGTAAAAAGGAAAAAACCTTCCAATTTTTAAGAAAATGAAAAGAAAAAAATATTAAATTTCGATCTGGAAATGGAAGGAAAAAAAGTGGAAATGAAGGAACTCCAAAAGATTACAGAGGGATCTGATTATGAATAAATGATTGAAATTGACAAATAAGATGAACTCAAAATGGAAGTTCCAGTAAACAAGTGTATTGTACAACCCAGAAAAAAAAAAGTTTAAGTTTATGAGTCCATGAATATAATTCTGTTTCTTTCATAGACGAGAAGGAAGGAGGTGGGGGTAGTAAGAACATTTGAAGAGACTTTTCTGCGCCCTTTTTCAACCGCGACTGCGCGTTTTTGGATCCATCGATGACCCAAAAAAATGTCCCTTTTTATTGATTAATCGTTTGCTTAAACAAATTGATGATTATTTTTCATCTTTTAAGTACTTTAATCATAAATTTGTTTCCAACCTTGGAATGCCTGACGAAACAGTGCCTATCTTAACCTTTTATATTGACCGTGCAATTTATAGTTTGGAGAAACCGAGAAAACCATTTTTCAGGTTGAAAATTGAGAAAAAATTGTTTGCAGTTTAGAGTGGTCAATTTGAGGCGTGTATTCAACGAATAAAAATATTCTAAGTTCTCAAATACAAAGAAAAGTCAAATAAATAAATTTAAGAGGAAATAATGGAGGAACATTAGTTCAAATCTTATTTTGGTTTGTAAACTTTCATGCATATAGAGTGCGATATGAGTATATAAAATTTGAATTACGCAATACTGATCAAAATATTTCCTTTAATTTTGTTTTAATGATATTCCGATCTCATAAAATATAGCATATATTTGTACCTTGATATTTACAATACTCCAAAAATATCTTGCTAACTTGACATTTACTAAGACAATACAAAAAATAAAAAAAAAATGTCTTATTTATTTTTATTTTTATTTTTAAACTAATCAATTGTTTAAACAAATTGATCATTGTTTTTAATGTTCAGCGTGCACTGTTCTTAAGAAAATTTATATCCCCCATGATTTAGTCATGTGGCAATAACTAACAAAATATTGAATTCAACTACAAATTTCATAATTCCGAATTTAATTTACTATGATGGCTTAGAATAGCAATGTGTTATGAAGACTTGTTTGTAGGAAATTTCTTAGGAGGACAGTGGGAGAAGGAATAAAAATAATCTACATATTAATTACTATTTTTTTTTTTAACAGGACATCGATAATATCTCTATTATTTTATGACTATCTAGACGAGGATGTATGGAAAGAGGATATTTAGAATAGCTATAGCGCTTAACGAAAATGAAGAAGATGTGTTATGAAATGAAATGACATTTTTAAAAGATGTCAATTAAATGAAAAATAATTGCAAGTAAAATGAGCCTTATCGAAAAGGAAAAAAAAATCATGGTCAAGTCAAAATCTGGCCTTCTTCTGCCATGTGAGCAATATGTAAAGTCAGATATGACGGCTGCTGCCCTTTTGTGTAGGGTAAAGATGAAGAATCAGTTTTTAATAATTTACGAGGCACAAAGATTTCCAATGAAGAGTTCAACATTAATCGAAGACTAAATATTACTTCTCTAATAAACTATAAAAAGATCCCTCCAATTTTAGGCCTCGTTTGGTAGGAATTATTTGTCCCAAAAAATTGATTTTTTGATCGTTATTTTACTATTCAAGTCGTAATTTTTGACTTCTTCTCTCACATGTGGACCCCACTTTTCTTCTAACGATCAAAAAATCAATTCTCAAAATCTCTACCAAACGGGCCCTTAGTATTTCACTGAAAGTCAATTATTTCTTTTTGTTTTGTCTAGTTTTCTCCCAATTACCAAACAAATCCATTGTTTTTTGACCGATGGAACTTTTTTTTTTTTTTTTTTAAATCCAAGTATTTGATGATACAATGATGATAGCATATTTGTATGAGATTAAGTAATAATTCAAAGAATTATTCTACTCAGACAGTAGCAAGGACCAACTAAAAAACAGGGTTTCAAAATTAAATGGGGCCCACCTTTTATTTTGGAGGGAACGGGCCAAAATTGTGCAGCCCCACGTGAACAAAAGACCACACTCCAGCTTCCTCTTACCAACAACCACCGCGAAACTCAACCCAAAACTTAACAACGCAGCACTTCCTTTCTTTCTTTGATACCGGAATTTTGCCGACAACTAGGTGAGAAAATCTAGCACTTTGGAGGCCTAATTTTTTGGAGAATTTCGACACGACCCTCACCACTCCAATAAGAGCGAAGAACTGGACATTCTTTTGGGGTAGTCCGTGAGCTACAGATTCGGCAACGTTGTGCACGTCTCCGATAAGATTATCTATATATATTTGTGCTTTTCATTATAAAGGCGAAAGACTCAATTTATTTTGGGTTTGTGGGTGGATAGGATTGCAATTTGAAAACTGTGAAGTTTGGTGTTTTGGAGAATAAAATTAGTCTTAAATGACAATCATCTGTTTTTACCAAAAATAACCATACATCTGTTTTGCCTAAATGGAGTTAATCTGTTGTGTTTCCATGTTGTGCTTTCGTTGGCTGCCATACAATACGAAAATAACAATTCCATTTCCAGTAATATTACAACTAATTTCATATAGATTTATTGCCATAAACATATAAGGGGTCTACATCCGTGAAGTTGCAATTTTTATTTTTATTTTTGGTTTTTTTCCGTAAACTTACTAGTCACTAGACACAGGTTCTCTATCACTCGATTTCTCCCATCTGTGAAGTTGCAAATTTTTTTGGATTCTTTATTTTTTGTTATTTGCAGTAAGTTAAAGTATGGATGACATTGAAAACGACCACAACGATGTTTTCGAGCCATCAGAGAATGAGAATGTGAAGGATTCTGTGAATGAAGTTGGTGGTGAAACATCAACGGGAGGCGGTGTAATTGTACCGGAGGTGGGAATGTTGTTAAAAATGAACAAGAGATGTATGATTTCTACAAAAAATATGCGTACACAATGGGTTTTCCAGTTAAGAAAAGGAATTCGAAAAAAGGGGACGATGGAGTTTTAAGATATTTGATGTTGACATGTAGCCGTGAAGGTGAAAGCATCGGTAATAGTAGCTGCTCTTTGAAGCCGCACCCAACAGTTAAGATGGGTTGTAAGGCCAGAATATCTACATCAGTCGATGTTCTAGGAAATTGGAGAATTAATGCAATAAACCTCGAACACAATCATGAGACAAGTCTTTATAAATCCAGATTATACTGATGCAATAGACAATTGAGTGCAGCTATGAAACGAAAGTTTGAGGTGAATGATTTGGCAGGAATTGCATTGCATAAAAGCTACAACTCCGCAGTTGTAGAAGCGGGTGGATATAAGAATATGACTTGTATTGAAAAGGATTGTAGGAACTATGTAGAATGCGTGAGGCGATTGCGTCTTCGAGAAGGAGATGCTGCAGCAATTCTATCGTATTTTTCAAAAAATGCAAGCATAGTGCTCGGGATTTTATTTTGATATTGATTTCGATGAGGAGTCACGATTGAGAAATGTGTTCTGGGTAGATAATCGGAGTAAGCAGGCGTACAAGGAGTTCGGGGATGTTGTTTCATTTGATACCACTAATCCGACTAATAAGTATGATATGTCGTTCGCTCCTTTTGTTGGCATAAATCATCACGGACAAACGACACTAATTTAAATCTTCATTTATATCACAAATTGATTAAATATTTTCATGTAAAATACAGCTAATATTGGATGTAGTTGCGATATTGCAATGTTATCATTAGATTCACAGTCAATTACCTGCCATTATCATTGGAATTGAGACATTGAGTGATTGTTTTAATGTTATTTAGTTCCTAAATACTTACTGGGGCCTTTGTCTTATGTTACCAGATACATTGCAGGCACGTTGGGCTAACCACGAAGAGTTCGGCACGTTGCGGGCTGCACATTCACCAGAGCTGGCAATTGATTGTTCTCATGACTTTGCATTGTCTCATTTCCAAATTGTAAAGGATTAGTTTTGGGATTGTACCCTTATTATGACTGGAGGGATAATTCATTTTGGATGTTAGCCATTAAATGTGTTTTGTCAAGAAACTTAGGCAGGTTGCGTTTCTATTGCTAAGCCAATTAATCTGGTCATCAAATCCTTTTTATTAATTTCAGTCACCTGGATAGGCTTCTTGAATTTGTTGGGACTTCTTTTTAGCTTGGTGGGATCCTTAATCCATTTCTGTAATAATGAATAATTCGTTTCCTTCTTTGATACGGTCTATTATTGTTCGATCCTCAATATCAAATGTAAGGAGAAAATTTCCATGGCTACGAATTTCAGCATCCAAAGCCTGTTTACAAATTCCCAGCACATAATAGGTTTTATGCATAATATTAGAAGAGTTCATACATAACTTAATATAAAAAGAGTACATACATAACTTAATATTACAAGAGTTGATACATAAATTAGTCATATACATCCAACACTTTGTGGAAAAACCTATTTGATAATTATCTACTAATCAAGCAGGCTGCTTCCCTTTCGCATTCCCTTGCGCACTAACTTCTTCCGTCTGGACGACCACATTCACATTCACTGAAATTTGGAGATCTTTATCGTCACTTATTCGAACTCGAGATTGGAATGAACGGGACATTTCTTCAATTGTTTCATTCTTGGCAGGGTTGTTCGACGGACCGCTTGGTGTATCTTTCACAACCCAGTCCCAAAATCCACAATTGTTACTGCAGCAAAGGAATAATTTTCCTTCGTTTTTAGACTCCTTTTCCACAATGAAACATTTCTCAAATCCATGCTTACATAGTGTGCAAAGGTGTTTCTTCTTTCACTCGGCAAAGAAGTGTTCTTTGGCTCGACAATTATGACAAATTTCGGAGTCCCTTCCGGGCATTCTAAGATGGAATCCACCACCACCAACAAAGGTGGAGTTAGTAATGCAACATTTCAATAAAAAAATACATCTAATCACATCTGATTAAACACAATAAAACCCCCTCTTCAATCTGTAAAACAACCCATCTCAACCACCAACAACAAAACGGAATTCACCAGTCCACAATTCAACCAATCCACCACTACGAATAGCCAACAATTCTAGTTAACACACAGGTTAGTATAATCAGTAATCCAGCGAGTAAATATAGTTCCTAATTTTACCTCTACTGCAAATACATGACTTCAACCTCTAAGTAGTGAGCTACAGATTGAAATATGAAATGGAAAACATTATAGATAATACAAAAACATGACTTCGGCCTCTGACTCAGAAATACATACACCGATACAGATTAAAATCTCGAGTTATAATATACTCATAGCAAAGAGATAGCTGCATACATATATACACAGACATACAACGACCTCTCATAGCTGCACTATAGGCATAAATACCCAAGAAATACAGTTCAAACACAAATTCAATAATGTCAAAAATCCACTAATTCAATAAAGTTTCGAAATCGACGAACATGACGAATCGCACTGCTTGATGAAACAACCATACTACCTAGACAATGCTGAAAAAAAAAGACTTATTTCGTTGGGCGCCGATATAGGAAACATTCCAATGGTTAAGGCGATGGCGTTAATTTATCAACAACAGGTCGCAAGATCTGTTGGTTTGATATACCAAAGGTCGGAGATGGTCACGGCTTCAACGACGACCGGATATGGTAGGTCGACCTACAACGAAGCCTTTCACAGCAATGGACGAGTCAATTCCACGACTGGACGTGCAGCCGGAGATGGGTTCTTATGCTTAGGGCTTCGAATTTGGGGCTCTTCAGTTTCGGTTCGTGGGGGGAGAGAGAGAGTTATGTATGAATTAATCATTTTCCTTTTTTAATAAGTGTCCAGCAACTTTGCCTCTGTTATTTACCTTATTTACTTACTTAACCAAAGCCACGTCAGCCTGTTTTTGAATCTGTTTTTCGGCCTGGACGAGTAGCGCGATCGCTCTTTTAATATTGTATATAGATGCTAATCCCGACAAATAGTGAAAGGTGGCTCCAGTTTTAGTCAATTTTTCTCCGACATTGGATCATTTGAATTTAGTATAGCTGTAGAGGACCCCGTTAAATAAATAACAACACAAGTTAAACATGACTTGAGATAATAATATCAAAAGCTATTTGGTGAAAACTTCTGCTATATTTTGCATATAAAACTACAAATATTTCTTGCTAATTTAATGGTTTTTCAGAAAGCGAGAAATATGCATTTTGATTATGATATAAAAATCGTACATTTATGTACTGTGTTTGACAAAATAAGTGATCGTTGAAATCTTGTTATTTTTTAATCGTGCATATTATTGTTATATGAAAATGAGAAAATTGAATAATATCATACCACTTAGCCATTGTACATAAAAGAAAGAAAAGAAATTACTTGTGCAATGAGGGAAACAAGATCGTTTATAAAAAATTGCCTAGACAATTCAATTCCAAGATTTCCTTTTCCCAAAAAAACACACATAATCAAACATTCTTGTATTACAAAACTCCGCTCACTTTTGTCTCTTGTAAATCTTGCCCAAGAGGCAAGAAGGACTTCAACACAGTCTTCACGGCTTTGCTTGGGTGAGCTTCGATAGAGCTATAGTGAGTTTCTCGTAGCTCTTGCTTTCGTACTCGGCAAACACATCCTGCAGATTTATGCCATTATAGAGGGCTTGGTTTTGGCAACATCAGCTGAATCATCCTTTCCATATTGCTCCTATAATAAATGCAGTTGTAATCGAGCATATTTTAATTTGATGAGGGAGAAAATCTTATGTATATGGGAAAACTTTGCTCTTACGAATAAGATTTTCTTTTGTTCTTCGTTGCAAGGTTCCAAGGCTTTTACAACCAGCCAAGAACATTTGAAATCTTTGATTTCAGTCCCAATCTGATGATGTAGTACAATTAACAGCAAAGAAAGTGTTGAAAATATTAAATATGGAAAATTTTGCCAGAACAATCCAAGTAGTCATCCTAATAGATACAAAAACTGCGTTATTACACAGATATTGTTTCTCGTAAAATTCGTCTATTGCACACACACTGCACATAATAACTAATGAATCTACTTGTGTTGCTAAGTTCACGATAGAGTATGTACCGACTGAAGACAAAACGGAAAAACTCACATGTACTTGAAAGTAAATTCCCATGTCGATAAGTCATCTATATGGTTGTCCAAGTTCTCATTAGCCATGAGCAATGCGCATGCCACCTGTGTACATAAAGGGAACATAAAATATGAACTAGTCAATAACTGCAATTTCATTTCAATATTGAGAAATGGATTCATACAAACAAGTTCCTCCTTACTTACTGGAATGTAAAATGAGTAGTAAGCAGTTTTATACTGAACAATGCGCCGGTGACTGCAAAAGATTCAACATGTTCAATTTATTAATTCAAAAAGGAAAGATGAAAAGAAAATTTGGGAAATTAAGTGATGCATTGAAATGCTAACATTACCACTTATTTGTCAAAATAAGTGCCTTTATATGTGCATTGAAAGTAAATTACCATGTTGATAAGTATGTTCTTCACATCTATATGCCTTGCTTCACATAAATACCCCAGTAACTATAGTAAAGTAGATTTCAATAAAAATTAATGAAATATATAATTAAAAAGTTAACAAGTTTCATAAAATATTATTGATTTCAGCCTCAATTTTTTTAAAAGTTTTCAAGATCAACAAGAAATCCTTTGCGTATTTTGAATTCAATTCATCGAAAGAAGGCCTTGTGAAAATTTAAAATTGCTTCATGAACTTAAATTGAAACTACATTAATATGAATATAGAAGCAAAAAGAGTTCTTTTCCATATGTTTCTTCAATTTGGCGTCTTGAACATTTCTTGTCACTGGATTATTGAGACTTATGAGACCATTATTAGGCATAGTTTTAATGGGCTTTTATTTATGTGGAAATTACATAAAATAATACATTTAGAGTTTCCATTTCATAAATCACATATTAGGTTTATTCTTTCACAAATCAGATTTTTTTTATTAATTAATATATTAATTAAGTTTTTGTTACTTCCTCACCACTTCTCCCCAAACCCTAAATCATTCTTCCTCCCATTCCCTCCTCTCTCTCGAAAGCTTTTTGACAAACACCAGAAGAGAGAGCATCATTGCTGTGGTAGTAATGCCACTTTGGTGGTGTGAACGATGCTGCGGCGATTATGCCAGTGGTTTTATTTTTAATTTTGGATCTGTCGACGATGACACCCGTGATTCAATTGGAGAATCAATAGTTTCCTTTTGATTTTAGATTTGTGGTTTGGCTGTGAAGGTGATGATGCTTGCGGTGATAGTTAGGTGAAGGTGGTGCTGGTGGTCGCTGGTAGTGATTGTGAGATGACACAATGTTCGGTTGGTGTCAATGGTAGGATGGGAATTGTGAAATAAAATTTTTTTTTGACCAATTATTAGAGCAATTGTTTTAATAAAATGGTGTTGTGGTGTTTGGTGATGCTGCAATCTGATAGTGATAATGGTGCAGGAGTGGGGTGTGTGGTGGAGTTGTGGTTACTGTGGTGGGTTTGCATTGATGTGGTGTGTGGTTGCTATGGTGGTGGTTCGGCACGGTTTGGTGAGGTGGTGGTGGTCGTAATGGAATAGGAGTATTTGTGACAAATTATTTAGGTAATTATGATCGATAAATTGATTAGTTTGTGACCAATAAATAATATATAACTTAAAAAATACGATTGTAACTCACAATTTATTAAATTATAATCAAAAAATTACTTGTGACCAATTATTTTGATAATCTGTGACCGATAAATGAGTTATGACTAATAAAAGTTTTGATTTTTTAATCGTAACCTATAAAAATTTTAAATTATGATCTTAAAATAATTTGTGACATATAAAATTCTTATTTTGTGATCGAAAATAATTTGTGACTAATTAAATTGTTAATTTGTGATCAAATTGTCTAAATCTGTGACCTTCATATATTTATTTAGTCAAATATATAATTAATTAATTAAATCATAAATAAATTTTAATAAATATTTGATTTTTGAAATTTAAAACATTTGTTCTTAGTCTTAAAATGTGTGATACTTAAATTCTTAATTATGAAATTTTCCCTTTATTTATTTTATTTATTGTAGTGTACTGAACCTTGTTTGGGCTCATTCAAGAATAAGCCACTACTAGGGTAGCTCATAGGGCCTTCGGATAAAGGGCAGCTTATGAAACACCTTTAAGCCCTTCTTTGAGCCTCATTTAAAAAAAAGAAAGTATTTTGACACCATTTTAATCACACTTTATTCCATAAAATAATATTACACACAAATTTAAAACTTCTCCTTATTTTTCAACCGCATATTTTCCATCAATACATTATTCAAAAATGTATTCCCCCCCCCGGCTAAAATTAGGATCATTTTGAAAATTCATTATAAATATGGGACTACAATATAAATACAATAATTTCCCTAATTACCACAATTCATTCTGGCAATTATTAACAAAAGATGCTTCTTTATAAAATATCATACAGAACTTAACAGTAAGAGGCTAAGAGCTATAATTTTGGTGACAAGTAAATGGCTAATATCTTACCTCCAGGCACATTGTAGTCCAGCATCTGCCACAGATATAAGAAAGATCACATCAGGCGGACACCTTGAAAAAAAAAAAAAAAAGGATCACATCAGGAACTACAAATAAATGCATAACTAAGAATAGTGTTTGAATATAATTAACTTTTTCGTATGTTAATATTTTTCAGTAGTAACAGGTCCCATTTTGTTCCACATCTCAAAAAGGATAATTTTTCATGTTTTGAAATATAAGTAGTCATTTCCATACTAGTAATTGATTCTTGTATGGCATCGGCAATCCTACTCGATCAAACTTGTAACACTTCGAGGTAGTTTCTCTACTGGGATTTCTGTTTTACTCAACTATTTGAGAGAAGTTACATGTTTATTCATATAATTATGAAGTTTGACATGCCAAACCCGCTCTCATGTGCTTATATGCTCGCACATACTAACATATAATTAATATTAGTGGGCATCAGTGTACAGGCAACTCTTGTTATCTAACATGTTGGGGTATATCCTGCGATTAACTTCTTTCATGATACTCTAGTGGCGGGGCGGTAGAGGATCTTTAGGTTCGGGTTCAACACTTTTTTTTTTTTTAATATTAGTCAAAACATGAATGAAGAAGTTATGTTTGTACTCGGTGAAATTTCCATTAAAATCTGGTTAATTTGCACATTTCGTCCTTAATTTTTGCATACAATTATTAATTTATCATCAACTTTTTTTAGCATCAAACATTCTCAATCTCTCATTTAATTGCAAATCACTTCATTTTGTCTATTTTTTCATTAACCTATGCAAAATGATGTATTTTTTCTCAACTTAATAAAAAATCAAATCAAATCAAATCAAATCAACAAAACAGGAAAATGAAGGGAAAATGGCAGAGGGGGTCCTAATTAAATACAATACTTTCTCTGCAATTTTTCATTCATTTTTTCTGTTTTTTTTTTATTTTTGATTTTAGCTTATTTAAAAACTATGTTAAATTTGTTATTTTACATGATTTTAAAGAAAAAAACGGATGAAAAAGCGATATTTGCATTTAAGTGAAAGATTGAAGATGCCTGATACAAACAAAATGCTAAATGTAGATTACTAAAAATTTGTAAAGATTATGAACTAAAAGTGCAAATTACCTGTTAAGCCTCGGCCATGTGGGCACACACCCTGACATCCATGTGGCAATGACAACCGCTTGATACCAAGGCCTAGGGCTTCTGCTGCAAAGATATTCAACCCGCTCATAGTATTGAAACCACGTCAACGAAGTCCTGCTTAAAAGAATGAGGCCTAGAATTACAGATCGAGACTCATCTATCCACCAGAACAAAGTTTGGGGCTCCGAGGCACACAATCTTGGAAAAGTATGAAGATCTCCCTCTTAGTGTCAACCCATGTGGGGGAGATCCTGAATTGGCGTGTGAAATCTTTTGGAAATGATTGATGGAACATTAGTAATGAGCATGAATGTTGAATCTTGTCAACAAAAGTGAAGGCTCTGCATAAGATTGAGTGTACCACGGCCATGGGCTAATAGGTCATAGTTGATGCCTACGATTAGATACTTAAATTAAGGAAATGAGGCCACGTATACTCCATTCAAGGGTCACAATTTCACTTGTAACTCTATAAATACCCCCAGTGTATCAAAGAATGGAATAATGCATCTTCTGACATTACAAACCACTAATGTCTTTCTTTCTAGCAAACTACTAACTTAACTACAATTTTACATTATCGTACTTTAATTGAGTTGTTGCAATTGATGATCATAAATAATACAATCATTTCATGAATATACCATCGGATCCCGAGCACATTTGTTTCATGTCGTTGAGTTTCTCCTACATCCACATTTTAGAGTATTGTCGACTAGCAGTCTATTCTCACGTGTGCAATAGTGGGCTTGACATCTGTTGTCCACAGAAATCGAGGTCAACATTACCCTTAATATTTATAATTAGGACATATTTCAAACTATAATATTTATAGGAGAAATTTTTCGAAAGAAGTATTTCGTGTTAAAAACTTTTTTGGTTATCCAATTTGTAAAACATTGAGTCTACTTGTCCAACCTTTTTTTGGTTAAATAGTTCTAGAAATCGCAAGGTTACTTTCTATCAAAACCAACATGCAGAGTATTGGTTAGTTGATTCAACAAATTGGCTGATGTATCGAATAATCAGATTTGCGTGCCAAATCGAAATGTCAATGGGGCAAAAATTTGGCATGTTAGTATCTACTTAGAATAATGGAGGTTGACCGTTGTGAATTAGACCATTATGTTGAAATTTTTGATTATTAAAACGACGCATTAAAATTTTGATTACTTGTAGAAATTTTAACCCCCAATTTTTTTTTAAGACAAGTGTTGTAAATAAAGTCTTCATTCAATTTATCTAGTGACCTTAGCCAATTTTGCATTGGATACTATATGATAATAAAAAATGCTACAGTGACAAGGGGATTGATAGCCTCCTAACCGAACCCATCAAATAGGTGGCGGGTCCCTTCTTTTTTTTTTTTTCTCATCGGACCCCCTATCTGTGGGGTTCGATCAGGGGGCTGTTAGCCACCCTATTGCTGTAGCATTTTCCAAATGATAATCACACGAAGTTTAGACACTGATCATGAATGATTAAACATTTGATAATTTTATCTGAATCATTGATTTCAATGAAATGACCAATTGTCATTTCGTTTTGGTCGGTGATCTCCAGCGGAATGAAAAATTGCTTTTGATGCCACTAATTCATAACTTTAATTTAAAACTTTTACGTGCTCTAATGTGATAGAAAAATTGTTTATTATACTTTATCTTTAAATTCCTGTATTCGTTCCTTTAAATGATTCTAAAAATTTGAAAGTTCCCTTTTTACAGGTGGGCGTCTCTTGATTTCTTTATCATTCCAATTATAATAATACTAAAATTCAAACTCTTCTCAAAAGAAAACTCTATCTCCAGCCCTCAAATTAAAATGCGTAAAATAAGGAAATAGTTCCGTTTTCAGAAGCACAAAAGCGACTAATCGATTCCACGAGACACGCAATAAATGATAATATTAATTAAAGCGAAATAGATAAGGATTCACAGACATTATCGTCAAATGAATTGTTCGAAACTATGTAGGACCAATTCAGAGTCAAAGGGACACGTTTCGTGTCTGAAAAGCAATTTCTGTACGCTTTATATATGTTATGGATATGGTTTTATAAGCCATTATTTCTATACTTCAACGTCGGAGTTTCTCGTGCATTGTCTAATTACTTTTTGAGTGTGAATATGAAGCGTCTATTGAAATTCATCTTTGTGCTCACAATCATCTGCTTCCTCCTGACTTCCGTAGTTGCTCCACCGAGTGGAGGAGGAGGAAGCAGCGGCGGTGGAGGTGGAGCAAAGGGCGGTGGTGGGAGTGTTGGAGCAAAAGGAGGTGGCACCGGAGTGAGCAAGAGAGGTGGCAGTGGCGGAACTAGAGGCGGTGGTAGAGGTGGAGGACGTGGAGATGATGGGGATGATGGAAACGGAGGTGGAGGTGGCTCAACCGGCAACGGTGGTCAAACGGGTGGTGGAACTAATATTGTGCGTCCATTACCCAATGGTCGTCCCATAAACAGCAGCCCATCTACACCAATTGGATGGTCCCATTTATTCATTTCATCCTTGGCGTATGTTACATTTCTTCGGTTACGTGCTTAAATCGATGAATAGCACTGCACAATCCATCAAATATTTTTTTTATTAACATTTAGTTATGTACCGTCTAAATATCAAATATGTCATTTGTTTAGTTGCATGTACATAAGAAAATAGCTTGTTATTTTTCATGCTCAAGTTCTAAATTTGATAATATTAACTTCGGCAGAATTATAATTTATAAATTTTATTAAAGTTAAACATTAATTTTCTATTTTATTTGATATTCAAGATTTAAGTATTGTGAATTGTGATTGATAATAATTTATTTTATTTTGTAATGATTGTTTCTTCATGTTATTATCATGAAATGGTCCTAATCGTATTTACTTTGAGTCCTATGTGTACTTGGATAAAATCATATGTACGATATACAATTCTCTCATGTGTTGAGGGACTCACGTGAATTAAAAAATTGTGGCTTCACCGTTTATTTTTTCTATCACACTGGCTTCGCGTAGAATGCCCTCCTTTTCTTTTAGGCACACAAATTTAGGCGTGGTTGACTGTTTCAAGAATTATATATAATTAAAGATTGATTGCATATTAAAAATCCAGCCACATGTAGCAGTTACAATTCTAGTTTAGCCATGCCCGATTATTTCGTTGAACATCCTCGTCAAATTTATAAGTTATCCATAACTTTGTGAAAATGTCATTTGTTGACCCAAAAAAATTTGTCGATAGAATCTTGATCTTGTCCCCTCCACATAGACATCACCTATACACTGAACACTCCTTTAGGAGGCAAAGGTTGTCGATTGAGAAAAAATATTCAACGATCGTTTATACTCCAACGATCAAATCAACGGTTGGACAAGAGTAAAAGAGAGGAAGAGGAGATTTGGTTAGGGTTAGGTTGCAGACCTTATCACGAAATGAATCACATATTTTTATAAAGAAATAAAATCGGCCAAGTGGCCATGATGGGTCGAGTTTCAAGCCCAAACGATATTATTTAGCTTAATAGGCACAATTCAGTGAATGGTTGATGCCACGTCAATATACATGTGATCTCCTCCATCACGCACATGCCATGAAATTTATGAATATAACACTATTAAATTTCAAAACTCGTAAAAATGGTAAAATTATATCTCATAAGAATGGTACAAAAATATCTTCTCTCACAATAGTTATAGGATAAGAAGGTCAATTTAATATTAAGCCTTTGTTTGACACTAATTTTTTGAAACTCATTTCTAATCAAAATCTTATGAGACTCACAACTTTTATTAGGTGTTAAATATCGAGTGCAAATGTGCGATCCGTATATTTTAGTACATGAAATTATCCATTATACTTTGGGTATTTCGTAAATGAAACCGTTCGAGTCATTTAATTAGTAGAATCAAACTCACGAACAGATCCGTCGATTCCAGTTCAATTCGATTTTACCTATAACTTTTTTATAAAAAATTGTGAGTTAACAATACAAATTATCTTCCCAATATTTAGCAAATATAGAAAAAATAAATATACCACCATATACATATTTCAACACTTTTTTCTTAATTCACTGCAAATATGTTCCTAAATAGCATCAAAATTCGATGGTGGGTTTTGGGGCGCGTAGCATGTAAAGAACTGTAAGAAATGATTATGAATAAGTGATATGATCAAGTAAATGAATTTCATTGATTAGAGCACTTACCATTTGGGTCCTACAAATTTGTTACTTGTTGAGCCTTGCAAAATTGCTAATTTTTGAGACAGAACATTAGATCAAGGTGAATAAATTATAAAAAAGGATAAATTTGGTTTGGTGTCCAAGATTCCGTTTCAAGAATTAAGTGTCGAACCAATTTGATAGTTTCTCGATTCCGATTTCTAATTTCATTTGGCACCAAATCGAATTTAGAATTTAGTTCGGGAGATTCGATTTCGATTAAAATGCTCAGCCCGAACTCAAACTTTTTAAAGAACCTTCTAATTATATAAATCATTCATTTTTATCAAAATCTATTAAGAATATAACTTTTTGCGACGTAATAATTATCAAATTACAGTTTCTCAACTAGGACGAGTGCAACGGTGAAAATAGAGTATAAGAACGTAAACAATAATTATCCTTGTTTGGGCTCAATTAAACCAAAAATATATTTTTTTAAAAACTCATTTTCAATAAAATAATACTACATGTAAACTTAAAACTTTTCATTACTCGATAACAACACATTATTCAAAAAAATTACTATTTAAAAATATAATTTTTTATTTATTAAAATCTCATTGAAATGGAGCCCAACCAAGGGCTTAATCAATTTGAAAAAAAAAAAACGGGTAATTATTATTTCTTATACCACATTTTAATTACACTTAAGGTTCTTAATCTTTACTCATTAAAACATTTATGTCCCTAAATTTTTTTCAAACTTTTCATTAATTAATACATTATGTATTTGACCCCAGTTTTATGTCCAAAAGTCAGTTGAAACGATGTAAATAACTTATTTTTCATCATATTTAAAAAAAACTAAATAATTGCTAAAATTATATTTTCCTCATTTTATAGCATGAAAATAAAATATTTTGATATAAAAATCATCAACAAGAACAAGAAGTACTAATTTATAAAAGTTTGTAGAAAGAATGCGATAAAAAATTAAAAAATTTAAGGCTACAACGAGTAAAGATTGAGAAGTTTATTTACAATTATAATGTGGTTCAAGAAAAAACTGTGGTGGCAATATAACTATCTAAAAATAAAGGCCAATTATATTACCACCACAAAACTTTTTGACACACCACATTTTTCTTATTTGCTAAAATGATCATAAGCAAAAAGGTAAAAATAATTTGTAACCGAAAGCAAAAGAAAAAGGAAGAAATCAATAAATCTCAGAACATTATTTCTAGATTCAAGCTAGAATTAATTAAATCGCAAAAAACACTCCAAATACATAAACCACCATAATACACATATGAAAATACATGTAAAGAGTGAAAAGGTAAAAGGTTCGATGCAAATTGAAAACCAAAAGAAAGGATAGCAAAAAGTTTGGGGGGTCATGGTAAATTCAGATGAAAAATCTTATATTTCTTTATTATTAAAGAGCTAATGAATGATCAATACACACGGACGTCTCATCAGTCAACGAAGCTCGTCGTCAGTAATTGAGGAAAGAGAGAGACGAGCGAATCGAAAGTCTGAAAACTAACGAAATGTGTACAATATATTTCACTTTCCTATTTGAGTTACGAATATATTTGTAAAGTTACCTTGGTGTATTTATTAAAATCGATAGAGCTCTTTTACCAGAAAATGTTTGGTACTTTGATTGACATAAACTTGCACGAGTGTGAGACTCGTATGAATTAAAAAATATCAAAAAATATGTTCCCCTACCCTATCGTGAATGTGCTGTCAGGGAGGATGTCAAACCCTCATTGGCAGCATAACCTGATTGATTAAAATTTTATTTTAATTGTTGTGTATTTATATTGTGGTGTGGTAAATAAATAATGATGTGGTAATATAATTATCCAAAAATAAAATATATCTTACAACTAGGTCCATCTACGATACAACAATTTCTTAACAACTTTACCCTAAAAAAAGTCAATATTTGAGTTAATTATTCCAATGGTCATTGAATTTAGGATCATGTCTTTGATTGGTCACTGGAGTTTAAAATGTCGAGTTTTGGTCACTAAACTTAAGTCCATATCTTCGATTGCTCACTAAAATTTAAAATGTCGAATTTTGACCACTGAATTTTGAAAACTATTGTACATTACTCACTGTAAAGCAAATTTGATATTTTTCAAAGTTTAACATTTATACTAGTAAGTAACGTACTATATTTTTCAAAGTTCAGTAGTCAAAAATCAACATTTCAAACTTTATTGAAAATATGGACCAAAATTTAGTGATTAAAACTTAACATTTTAAAATTCAATAACCAATCTAAGGCATGAGCCTAACTTTCCTGACCATCAGAACAATTAGCTTTGTCAATATTCCCTTCTCAAAAGCGAGTGCCCTATCTTCCCATAAAAGCTTTGTCACCACCACAAGCCAGCCGCTGCAATTGGTGGTGACCACCATCTCCGTCTCCCCGCCTTTCTCTGTCTCACACATCCGCTAGAGGGTACTCTTACTTGAATTATTATCGGTGCTGAATTCGCAGTTACCCTCAATATTGGCTTCTCAGGTAATTCTTCTCCGGCTTTTTATCCTCTCCTTTTGACGTTTGTCTCCTTCTACAACTCAAAAGATTGCTCTTTTTACGTTTTTTCAATGAATTCTAGTTTTTCTGTGCAAATTTTCTGGGGTCGTAAGAGGGTAATAATTTTTTGTGTTTGTATTAGAATAGGCTCAATTGTCTGTGCATCGAGCTATTCTGGTTCTGGTCTAATTTAAGTTGCTTATTACGAAGTGCTTCTCTTCGTTGATGCAGATAGTTTGATTATATAAATTTCTTAAAAGAACATGAAGATTGTAAGCCATGCTGGCATCACGAAGCCCAGTTTTTTGCTTGTACATTATGAGTTACCTGCTCTTACATTCCACAAGTCGCATTTGACTTCGACTTCGTCACTGTGCATTTCAAGTTATAATGAGAAAAGATATGGATTGATGCTTAGGTTGCACTGCTCTGCCGCTGGTAGAACCCTTTCATCTAGGTCGTCAAACTTACGCTTGTCGAAGGAGGATAAAGTAAATACGAAGCGGGATCAAGTTTCTTCTGCTTCTTTGTATACTCATCCTAGTTTATTACAGATGAAGAATGAAAGGATAGCCAACCGCACCCGAGTTTATGAGTTCTTGAGGAGTATTGGTGTTGTACCAGATGAGCTTGATGGCTTGGAGCTTCCTGTTACTGTTGAGGTTATGCATGAGCGAGTGGACTTCCTTCACAAACTGGGGCTTACAATTGAAGATATCAACAATTACCCTCTTGTACTTGGCTGCAGTGTGAAGAAAAACATGATTCCGGTACTCGATTATCTAGGCAAACTGGGGGTAAGAAAATCCACTTTTACAGATTTTTTACGCCGGTACCCGCAAGTCCTCCACGCTAGTGTTGTTGTAGACCTTGCACCAGTTGTAAAGTATCTTCAAGGCATGGACATTAAGCCTAATGATGTTCCTCGAGTTTTGGAGAAGTACCCAGAAGTTTTGGGATTTAAGCTTGAGGGTACCATGAGTACTTCAGTGGCTTATTTGATTGGAATTGGGGTAGCAAGACGAGAGATTGGTGGGCTATTAACTAAATACCCAGAGATATTGGGTATGCGAGTGGGTCGGGTGATCAAACATTTTGTGGAATATCTTGAGAGCTTGGGGATACCAAGATTAGCTGTTGCTAGATTGATTGAGAAGCAACCTTACATTCTTGGATTTGGACTTGAAGAGAAGGTGAAACCTAATATCAAATCCCTTTTAGAGTATCATGTTAGGCAAACATCTCTTGCTGCTGTTGTCGTTCAGTATCCTGAAATCATAGGACTTGATCTGGAGACAAAGCTTCTCAACCAACAGGGGTTCCTCAATTCCATTATTGGATTGGTTCCAGATGAATTTGGGAGAATCGTAGAGAAAATGCCACAGATCGTCAGCCTCAGTGACATGGCAATAGTGAATCACGTGGATTTCCTCAAGGAATGCGGATTCTCCTCAGAACAAGTGAAGAAAATGGTTGTGGGGTGCCCCCAGTTGCTGGCTTTAAATATTGACATCATGAAACGCAGTTATGATTACTTCAAAACCACAATGGATAGGCCATTGGATGATTTGATTATGTTCCCTGCATTCTTCACTTATAGTCTGGAATCAACCATAAAACCAAGACATAAGATGGTTGCTAAGAAGGGAGTGAAATGTTCGCTTGCATGGCTACTTAATTGTTCGGATGAGAAATTTGAAGAGCGGATGAATTATGACTCCATGGACATTGAAGAGATGGAAATGGAATCATCATTTGACTTCAATACTCTGATGGAACCAAGAAATGACGAGTCCTCTGATTATGAGGATAATAGTGATGGTGAGTATTTATAGAATAAGCGGGGATGGGATAGCAGTCAGCACAAGGCAAAGGCTGCTGTGGAGAACCTGGATCTTTTATCAAATTAAGTAGTATTTTTCATGGTATGTTATTCATTTTGTAGTTCATGATTTTCTCTTTGTTATTATGCAGCTGATGCAAGAATTCCCCCTCCCTCTTTTCTAGTCCCTGTGATCAGCTGTTCAAAGCTCTCAATAGCTCTACCTTCTAGGAATATATGTTGCAGCTAAGCTGAGAATAGTTTTATTGGGTTACTTGAGCTTATGCCATGGAATCGTAGTGCAATATTGACATAAACGATATTTGAAAAAGTTGGGCAGCGTAATTTTGATGAGGAAGTCTGACTGATTTGGCTAGAATAGAGGCAACTTATGATTTCTTTTTATTCCGTATCTTTGGGGTGGAGCGGGGTGAGCACAGAGGCAAGGAGGGAGTGATTTCGGTTGGGTTGTAAACGACAGAGTTACTGTATCTATTGATATATAACTAGGATGATCCCTTGTTGCATTCTGTATAATGTTTTAGTTTATGCAGAACAGGTCATGTTTTATCTGTTCTGTTTTTTAGTAGCCTCTCTCTCTCTCTCTCTCCCCCTCCCTCATAAGTGTGGTGCGTAATTTCTACAATGTTACCTCTATGGCTTCTATTAGTTATTCTTTGAGAAAATCGAGGTTGTTAAAAGTTCTTGTACTGACACTTGTTGCTGCTGTGCCAACCTCAGCAGCATCTAAGGGAAGAGATGTAAAGGCCAACAAAGAGAGCGACGGGATAGGAAGGAGGCAGAGAAAGCGTACACCTCTCAAGGGCTTTGTCGTGTTTGACTTATTCGTGGTCTTGTTCTTCACTGATGTTATTATTTTTACGTTCCCTACTTATTTCCTAGTCTAGATTGTGCAGTTCGGTGCTTATGCTTATGCTGCGTGCTAAATGGCTACATTGTTACCTTTTTTTAGCATATGGCTATATGACGGTTCTCTAGCACATTGGAGTTAGCCTGCCTAGTCATTTTTGATATACTTACACTTAAAATGTAATTCTTATATGGCGTGTTTGGTCGGTTGAAATTTAGTTGTTTATTCAAAGGTTGCATGTGTGCGAGTTTATGGGTAGCCCGCATGCATGAATTGGCCTTTATCCCCAAGTTTTTATAGCATTTTTTAATTTATTCACAATCAAAAGATTAAAAATCTTGAATGTTAAACAGAAGCTTGCTTATCCAATTGATTACACTAAAAATTGAACATTTAGATAAGCGTAGCAAAGTGTTGATTGGGAAGATCTCTGGGAGTTAATTATTGGGATGGATAGCAAAGCTTTTAGTACCAACTAAGGCTTCCAAAGATTACCTCCAAATTATTGGTATGGCTGTCATCAACACGTAGGTCTAGATTCAAATGGTAGTATCGGGTCCTTTATTGTTGTCGAGAAATGGCCGGTTCCTATGTATGTAGTATTCCTTCTACTTTAACATAATATTCATTAACTGACAAAGTTGTTGATGATCCATCTAAAATAACTGCACAACTAGCTTCAATCTCAAAACAATCTCGTTAATCTTTGAATATTTATTTATTTAAACCTGATCCGACTTTAATTCGACCTCAAGGGACTGATTTTAGGACAATGATTTTTACTAGACGGTTGTTGAGTATTCCCAACCCATTGTATACTATGCCGTAGTTGAGTCTGTCTTTGGGATAAAAAAAAAAAAGGGGAAAATTACCTACAACCCTACAATTAAAGATTAATTTTCTTAAACAAGGGGGTTAAATTTAAATTTCAGAATTCAGGTGTTAAATAAAATTATTAATTGTATTTAATAAAAATCTAATTATATCTAACAAATTCATTTCCTAACACGATCATTTTTCCCATCTCCTCTCTGTGTATATCATCTCCTTCTCTCTATCACATACCACTGCTGGAGATACAGTCACCACCGTCGACAGTCCTCATGATGTTGCCAATGCCACTGTCAGCTACATCCACCGTCTACCAGATTTGGCTTTGAAACCACCAGTTGGCCCTCCTCTTCCACCCAACGCTTCTATCTCCCTCTATCGTTGTCAAACCTCACTCCTCCACTAGTCCATCCGGCAAGAAACCTTATTCCACCACTTTTTAGGGCTAAGGTTATGGACAAGAAGGAATTTTAATTAAAAAGTTCCGAGTGCTATTTATCTGGATTAGGATTATTGAATGCGAATTTTCGATGGTTAAGGAAGTGAACCGTGTAATTTATTTGAATTCTAGTTGAAGGCTCTGAATGCTGTTTGTATGGATTCGGATTATTGTTTGATTTTATGTGGATTTAAGGAAGTTTTTATGGCTAAAGAAGTGAACATTGTCATTGATTTGAATTCTTGTTGAAGGTTTCGGTTGCTATTTGTCTGGATTCAGATTAATATATGATTTTGTGCGGATTTTACTAAATTTTGACAGTTGAAGGAGTGAACTGTGTAATTGAAGTGGTACAACATTTATTGACTTCACGGTGGTGGCAAGAATATCAAAAGCCATAGTAAGCTTATAGGTGATGGTGGAGAGAAAATTGGTTTTGGTGTTGGATTTGGTAATGAAGGAGATGGAACCATCATAGTTTTATCAAGTTTTTAATGATGGGTGGTTTTTTTATCAGATCTTTTGTTTAACCAGAGTTTTGGGATGATTGTTGGTATTTTACAGTGTCGGTGATTTTCTAATCCATGGTGATTCTATTGTTGGTGGTCGTGGTAAGGTGGTGCATATTTGATTCGTTGGTTCTGTGGTTGCTGTGATGGTTTTGTGATTGGTTGTGACTTGATATTGAACTGGTCACAGATAGTCACATTTAATACAATTTTGGTCACAATTAGTCACATTGAAGATAAAGTTGGTCATGGTTAATCACAGGTCTACAGTGTGTGCAAGTTTTTTATGGTGACCCTATGTGATCAAGTATGTGTCTGTTGTCACTGTTTATGGCCAATTTTGTGTTGATTGTGATCGGTTGTGACTTGAGATTGACTTGGTCACAAGCAGCCACAGTGAATACAAATTTGGTCACAGTTAATCACAAGCGTTGGAGTGGTCATTGGAGTAGTTTGTTGGAGGCATCGCTGAACAATCGTCACAGTGATCGCTGGAACAATTGTCGAAGTGATCGGCGGAGCTAATGGCTCATCTCTCTCTATCCCACCTCTCATCTCTTTGATTTTTGAAATTTCAAACTTTATTTCTTAATTTTGAAATTAATCATTTGCATATTCATCCCACCCGATTAGGTTACAGATTCAATAGAACTAGTCACAGATCACAATGTGCACAGGTCACAGATCTAATGGAACTGGTCACAGGTCATTGTGAAAAAAGAAGAGAAAAGAAAAAAAGGTAGTCTACGAAAGGTGACGGTCACTAGAATAGTCGTCGAAACGGTAGGAGAGGTCGTTGGAATTGTTATCGGAGTCGTTGCTGGAATTGTCGGGAAGTCGTCGGAATATTCGTCAGAGGTCGCCAGAATTGTTATCGGAGCCGTCGTCGGAGAAGTCGCTGGAGGTGATGTGGGGTGGAGAGAGAGAGAGAGAAGAGTTTGATGTGATGGGTGGATTGGAGGTGAAGTGGGATACTATAAATATTTAATAAATTTAATTATCGCCTTATTTTTGAAAGATTTTTAGATGTTTGTCAGTTGTGAAATGTGATTTTTCAATGTAGGATTTGTGTGGTGTTCCCTAAAAAAAAGGTTGATTCAAAAGCCCAAAATCAAACCAAATCAAACAAGGGAAAATTAGGTCCAATACCCTCCTAAACTAACTAAATTGAATAATACCTGTTTAAAACTATTTAAACCATTCAACCGTAATTAATACGTCCTAGATCTATAACCACCTCTCCTTCATTTTCATTTTCACCTTCGTCTCCACAGTTACATACAGATCCAACCACAAGTAATAGCTAATTTTCCAAATACCTATGCAACAATCCCACCTTAGTTCCTGCATCTCCACAGCAAAATTCCTCCTTCTTCCGTAGCCGTCGTCGACGTTAGAGGTGGCATATGCGAAAATATATTTCCAAACAGCAAATAAAGGGGCGGCCCATTACATAGAGCAAAGGGAGGAGAAAATGGCTGCAAAGAATAAAAAATGAATATCTCCTGCCATGATTAATCGAAGATGTGAACAGCATTTCGATGAATGAAATAGATGTTTAATTGAGTGGTTGGAATTCCAATACCCCTTCGCTTCAGATCTGCAATGGTGACTTGAAGCAGTATGAAGGAAAGCGAACAAAGGAGGAGATTATTCAATTTATTCAGAAAAATAGAGATTACTTTGCTCAAGTTGCCTCGGTGCGGTGATTAATTGGAGTCGCCGACGGTAAATTGGGTTTTAGTCGGTTGGGTGATTAATTGGGGTACCCAACAAATCTGCTTTGCCTTGGGGAAGACAATGGGAGTGCAGCAATTTTGAGTTGGTGAAGTTGGAGTTGATTTTGAAGCTTCAATTTTAATCCTGTATGCTTTGTTGTGAGTTCAATTTATATGTTGAACTTTGAAGTTTAGGACCCATTTTTTCACTTTACTCATTAAGGCATGGATAGGTAAATTTGAGAAATAATGATGAAGTTAGTGAATTAAAGAATTCATTTTTAACAAGAGTAAAATAAGTGAATTTTACTTGTGGGAAATATAAATTGCTGCCATTGAGTTTGGGAGTTCCTATGGTGGCAATGGCATAATGTTTCAATGGACTGATCAAAGCACAAATGCAAAAATTTTTCTGTCACTTTTTTTAAATTTGTGTCACCTTTTTTGTTACATTTTTTAGTCACTTAATTTGAATTTTGTTACGTTTTGAGCGTTTGTCACTTTTTTTAATATGTCACTTTTTTGAATATTTGTAATTTTTTTTAGTAATTGTCTTTTTTTTTTAATTTTTGTCACTTTTTTTTTTAGTGTTTGTCACCTTTTTCAATCAACTTGATTTCTATTACTGTTTTTAGTGACAAACATCATTTTTTTAATAAAAGTGACATTGTATGTCATTTTTTAATAAAAAAGTGACACAATATCACCTTAAAAAAAAAAGTGGCAATTTTTATAATAATAAAAAAAAAGTGACGTTATATCACTTTTTAATATTACAAAGTATTTTTTTTACTTTCAAAAATTTTTATTTGAGTAAAATTTTATTTTACTACTCTATCTTTTGAATTGTATAGTTTTCTTTTTAATATAAAAAGTGTTAATTATTTAAATATTAAATATTATTACACTTGTAAAATAAAATATTATGTTGAAGGGTCTCATATTAATTAGTCGCCTGGGGCCTCTAAATTCTCGGGGCCGGCCTTGAGACGACTTCAAACTTAGAAAGAATTGACGTCAGTGGTGGTATTGTATCTTAATTGGTATAAATAATAACAAGGGAATGCCATAATATTGGAATTAATGAATGGTAATGAGCTTCAACTAATTTATTAGCTACAATAATAAATGAAAAAACAATGAGGATAGATGTTGGGACCTTTATACAGTTGTTTTATGTCTACTACTTTCACAGCCAGAGACTCGAGAATTAAAGGCCCACACACCCGACATTGTAGATAGACGAATTCTCTACATCTTAATCTATACTGACATATGCACACGGAGCGCGCGCGCACGCATACATTACATAATAACGTGATCGACAAGTTATTGCCTTTTTCTCATCACCACATAGCATTTGAGATGCTGAGGCTGCTTCTCTGTCTTTGAAGGGAACATTTAGGTTTGGTGATAAGGGTCACTTCTATGGCCAAAATGCACCTTGGATTTTGAATTATATTCTGTACTGATGGCTACTTTGTGTTCAATCAAACCATTGCACTGTAGAAAATGAATAGCTTTGATCTAAACTTATTGATCCTAAAAGGATCTAATGAGTATATCGAGTTGTGTTTGTTTGCTTACGAGATCATTAATAAGTAATAGAATTAATGAGTTAAGAGTTATCACCTTATAGAGAATCAATTCAATTCAAGTTTAATAATTATGTATGGAATTCGAAATAGTTAATACAAGAAAGAGTTTGATTTGATTTATATTAAACTAAATTAAGAAAGTTGTAAAAATATTTCTGTATCGAATTATGGATGATTGTATTGGAATTTGAATTCACCAATTGCTATCTATTTTAATTCTCAATTATATAGTTTAAATATATTATTGTGTTCTTGACAATCGATAAAGTTAACGTATTTAACTTTTTTTTTTCAAAATAAATAAATTATATTCTAATCACGTCCCGAGTTTATTTCTAACCCAAATTCGAATGATTAGAACGCATTAAAATTCAACTTATTAATATGATTGCATACATTAGAAATGTTATTCTTAACATCTATTTCACATATGTTAAATTTGTTGAGTTTTAAACTTATTATAAATCTTCCAACACTGCAACAAGCAATTAATTATCCAATTGGTAATCAGTCCAATTGATATAAACAAAATTACTAGTCTGGAATTAAAATAAAAAAAATAATAGGGTTCATCTTCATCCAATTCAAAAATAGATTTAGCCTAACATGTTTTAAATAAATTACAAGAAGAATAGTGAAAAATCAACACTCGGATCGTGAAATAATGGAAGAAATCCTGATCTTCAATTCAATGTTGAATTTTTCAAAATCTTTATGTAATTGACTTTAATTTCTTATTAGTGCTTGATCTTCTCTTCCAAAAGTAATTAATTCACCTTTTTTTTTTTGATGAATTTGATAATATTAATTGAGTATGGAGAGGCAAGAGAGAATTCTCTCATGTGTAGCCCTTGTTCAGTATTTATAAGAAATAGAAAATAGGTCAAAATCGTGTCCAATTTAAGTTCAAAAAGAGTTGAATTGGGAAAGGAATTAATTCACCAAGTACTTTTGGCCAAAAACAAATACCGCGTGTACGTCATGAGTTGCCCGCATGCACACCAGTTAACTTAGGTTCGTCCTTAAACAGTTTTCGATATTCTGGTCATAATTTTTTTTTTTTATATTCGATTGAAGCAGTTCAAAGTGCGTTGAAAAAAATAACTCAAAGAGCTACATATCTTCTAGAATTAAAAAATTTTCAATCCAAACATTTGCTATCTTAAAGCTGAGATTGAAAATCAAGAGCATAAGTTTTTTGGTTGAAAATTGATTTATGAAAATATTTCAATATTCACTGGCGGGCCCAAGGGGGGTTCCGTGACCCCTCTAATTTTTGAGATTTGTGTGTGTGTTGGGGGGCGGGGGAGGAGAGGGGGTAAAAGTCTTGTTTGTTATCGATTCTAAATCAAAGTTAACAATTGATTTTAATAATATATTTCATGGAGTTCTTATCTTTTTAACTTTTATCAAAATTTACTAAAAATTTGATTTTAATCCTCACAAAATAGGAGTAAAATTACAATAAATTTGATTTTTTTTAATCTTATTTTATCTTACTCTCTCCCTCGCGCCTTCTACCAAAATATTAACCCTTCTAATTTTTTAAAATTTGTCTATAATTTTTCTACAAATTATTACATCTACTACAAATTTTCACTTTCAATCAAATTTTCAATTAATTAAAACTAAAATTTGCATTTTCTCCTATCGTATTTGTGTATATAGAATATGTCAAAACTGATAACATCCAATTTAACTTATATTTACAAATTGTGTTTATTTGATTGATTATTAGTATTGAATATTGACTATCACTTGAATTAATTGTTTGTATCAAATACACTATAAATTTTTTAAACGTAAATATGAATATTCTTTTGATGAGCAAAATATTAATAAAATGATTGTTCGAAATCAAATGGATGAAAATAATGAGTAAAATTTTATTGAAAAAAATATTTTTTAAATGTAAATATGCTTTTTCTTGAGTTAAGTATAAATTTTTAAAGAGTTTGGTTGTGCCCCTAACTCAAAATGTCTATGTCACAAACAAAATTAACATCTAATTAAGTCATAAGTTATCAAAATTTATTACATTTAGTCTTCTTTAACCGTCTAAGTAAGTGCATAAAAATGTGGAAGAATAAATTGACTAATGTCTTACCTTGATAATGTGTCATGTCGGAGGATTACTTTAGGCGACCCTTGCAAGTTCGAAGCTAGGAGACAGTTTGAATTCGTGAAAATCCCGGTAGAACCAGGGGATACGGTGGGGGAAGGGGAGATGCGACCAATTGACAATTTTTGATGAGTTATTATTTATTTATTTATTAAATTTTTTTTTTATATTCAGGTATCCACCTTACAGTGACTAAATCCTGGAGTCTACACCTTAGCCCCTCAAGCTGCAGACAGGTTAAACCGCAAATTGTGCCCCAAACTGACCAGTGCTTAAGAGCCCTCCCAACTAATCTGTCAAAGTGTCAAGCAAGTCGTTTCCCATCTTTGCACCTTGCCTTCCAGTATAGCTACTGCCTTCCAGGCGAATATCTGTCTTCCAAGAGCCTTTCAGGAATCGAACTCACGACCTCTGATCTACCAGCCTTGAAGCGTTCTCATCTTTGTCAGTTGGGATGTGCCCTGGGGGGGATTTTTTTTTTTTTTTTTTGGATAAGTTAGTTATTATCGTTAGAGGTTGTACTAGCAAAAATATATACAGTTACAGTGGTAGAAATGAAAATGAAAAGAATTGGATAAGTTCAAATAAATTATTTATTCTAAAATCATATTAATAAACCACAAAATCTCGATAATTATTTCATCATGTGAAGTACCGCTTTATATAATGATGCCATAGTTGCCTTTCATGGTCCATAAAAGTAATATTATTAACTTTTTAGTTTAAATGAATAGCATCGACCCGTGATAAAACTTTATATTAGCTCCAAAGCATAAAAAGTATACAAATATGATTTTCCTTCTAGATTTTGCAATTATGAATCACATATTTTAGCTGTGTTAGATTGTTTTTAGACGACGATCAGATTCTCCATTGCTTTTTTAAAATAAATCATTATTGAGAAATGAAAGGATAATATATAGTTTTCACTTGGTAAATTTATAAATAGAAATAATAAGAAAAATAGTAGCGAATATCACCAAATGTGTGAAAAATAGTTATGAAAAAATAGTTAAAATTAATGTTCGAAAGCGTATTCATTTAGAAGGGACCTGGATGGACTATGTCAGAAAAGTTGTGGGACCAGAAAAACAATGAATTATTGGATAATTTTAAAAGGACAAGATACATGATTGAAGATAATTATTAAGAAAATATTAATTTTTTCTACATATTATCCTATTCATTAATCAAAACATGTGGACAAAGAAAAATATACATATTGCATACCATGCTCCCTAATCTATTGCTTTAGTAAAAATTAATCACCAACCTTTTATTATAGTTGGAGGACTACTTCTTTATTTGAAATTTGTCCAAATTCGTGTTGAATCACCACATAATCCTCGTTTGTTTAATTTTATGAAGCCACAGGCATATGTTTTTCTGATATTTGCATCATACTTTTGCTCAAATTTCAATGTTTTTCATTATGCTAATTGATTTTGTTATTATAGTAAAATATGAAAAACTAACTTGACACTAAGGGCCTGTTTGGACCCAATTTTTTCACCCAAAAAATTGATTTTTTGACAGTTATTTTATTATTTCAGCCGTTATATTTGACTTCTTCTCTCACAGGTGGACCCCACTTTTCTCCTAACGGTCAAAAAATCAATTATCAAAATCACTCCCAAATAAGCTCTAAATCAACTCATAACAAGAGTCGTCAAAATCAATTCACACCTGACCAATTATCTAGAAAAGCTGTAAGCTAGTCAAGTTATATGCTGAAAACTTTAAATATTGCCCCAATTAAAATTAATAAAGAATTGATCGATTTTGAGGCCTAAATTTTGTATTTACTTATTTATTTAGTTAACCCCAATTTTAGCTCGAATTGATCATTTAACCCTTGACCCTTTATCTTTTCTAGACCAAAGCTTAGTCCTTTTGCTTTTGCTTGACATTTATTTTTTAAACTTCAATTTTTTTTTTCAAACTCATTTTCATAAACACATTTTATGAAATTCATAATTTTTATCAACGTTTTAACCATATATTTTATTAATTTTTACAAAAAACTTAATCTTTAGCTAAACCAAACGAAAGCTAAAAACCTTCCTCACTATTAAGAGCCTGATTTTGAGAATTGATTTTTTGATTGTTAGAAGAAAAGTGGGATCATATATGAAAGAAGAAGTAAAAATTACGGTTGAAATAGTAAAAATAACAGTCAAAAAATTAATTTTCTTGCAAACAGGGCCTAAGTCAATAGGTTGAGGATCAATTAGTGAAATTTTTTCAAAAAAAAGTACTATACGAGAAAGAAAAACTGAAAAAGTTAGGCTTTCGAGTTTTGACCCAAACACCCCCTCCAATTCTGATTCGCCTAATAGTCCACGAACGAGGGTCCCATCAAATTTTTATATTACATGAAACATCAATGTCTCTCTCCCCTCCACTTGTTCGTTGTTGTCACAGGTGCAGAACCAACAAGAAACAGGTCATGAGAGAGAGAGAGAGAGAGAGAGGGGAGAGAGAGAGAGAGTCCAGCCCTCTTTTTGACTGCCAAAGCTAAGCCCTTCTCATGCTTGTAAAATTAGGTGCTTTTCTTATTCTTGTTCTTGCTTTCAAGCTCTGTTCTTTTCCGGGTTCTTGTAGTTTATAGGTACGTGGCCTTTAGGTACCAGATTCTCTTTTTGGGTTATTTGTACTCTTCGATTGTGGATCTGTCTCGGGAATTACATAATTATTGTGGGGTTTGTATCAAGATTTGATTTTTGTACAATGTTACCATTACTTGATCTCTGGTTACTCTTTGAATATGAAATTATTGGATGCTATTATGAAACTGCTATCTTTGCTTTTTTGGGTGGCCCTTGATTCCTGCAACTATTTTTTTTTCCCAAGCTCACTTTTTTCAGGTTTTCTGGAAGTGATTTTGATTTTTAATTCTTTAAGCTCTTATATTGAGAAAAGTATTTGTTAGAAGTTGTGTGGTTGACCAGTATTCTCTACTTGTGTAGTCTTTTTTGTAGGACCACTTCGTAGTTATTTCCTCTCTCTTCTTTTTCACATGAGATAATAGATATGCTAAAAGGAGCTTTTGAATACATGGGGAGTTTGAAATTTTCGTTTTTTGTTCTCAGAGATTCAACTTTGAATAATTTGTTGCAATTTCCATGTGTTTGAACATTCTGATCTAGGGTTACCTTCATCACTAATTGATTCCACGATTTAGGTGTGAATATGGTGTTCTCTTAATTCGAATTTTACGTCAAATTGCTCAATATGACTTTGATATTTCTCGTTTCACTTAATTTGTGAATCTGAATTGTCTAATCCGATATGCTTTTTGTTATATTGGTTATTGTTCCAATTTTTAACATGTTTGTTATTTGGCAGCATTGGACGTTAATCAAAAAGACATCATGGATAAATATTTTCTCGGATTTAATTAAAAGCAAAGTGAATTTCTCTCTTTGATGGCCTCAAAAACTGGTGATAGACTTTCTCAAGAAATGCAACAAAAAGTTAATGGTGGTCAGCAAGAAGTTGAGCCAAATTACCGCAAAAATGTATCTTCAGTTGATTCTAAAGTGTCTACAAATTTGTCGTGTGGAAAATCTGATTCAAATATTTCTTCGGCCATTATTGAGCAAGTGTCAACGGCTGTAGATTCAGAAGTAAATGAGATTAAGTCACAAGAAAGTTCTGTTGATCAAGGAAAGAAAACAACTGAGTACGGGAGCGTGAACAATAGTTCAGTGTCTACAAATGCTAGTGATGGTGGTGATCATTCCAATTTTGTCGAGAGCGGAAAGAACAGTGCATGTCGAGGAAGCACGGGCAGTGATGTCAGTGATGAGAGCACGTGTAGCAGTTTTAACAGCAGTGTCAGCAAACCCCACAAAGCAAATGATTCGAGATGGGAAGCCATCCAAGCAGTCCGATCCAGAGATGGTGTCTTAGGTTTGAACCATTTCAGACTGCTGAAGAGATTAGGCTGTGGAGATATTGGGAGCGTTTATTTGGCCGAGTTGAGTGGAACGAAATGCTACTTTGCCATGAAAATCATGGACAAAGCATCCCTCGCAGGTCGTAAGAAGCTTCTTCGTGCTCAGACGGAAAGGGAGATATTACAGTCCCTGGACCATCCCTTCCTTCCAAGTCTCTACACCAACTTTGAAACCGACAAGTTTTCGTGTCTGGTTATGGAATTCTGCCCTGGAGGAGACCTACACAGTCTTAGACAGAGGCAGCCGGGAAAGTATTTTTCCGAACAAGTAGTAAAGTATGACTTTTTCCAAACTATATCTGAAGTTTTATTGGAAAACTTCAGTGTGTGTGTGTGTGTGTATATATTAATCTTGAAAATATCTGAAATACATACAAAACGTTCTTTTGAAAATCATAGTTGTCAAATTTATTCTTCCAGCTTATGTATCTCATTATTATTTTGAAGTTGAAAGCACCAAGAATTTTGTAGTACATAAAGATCAATTTCACGACTCCCACCATATTTTTTTCGTAGAATTGTCATCACCTTCCTCTCTCCAATTACCAGATGTTATAATCACTTCTCTGCTTCCAGTTCGTATATAAACTCATTCTCTGATTTGCTATCTTTCTTTTACCGTCAAATTTTCGATCTTATGAAGCTACAACATGGGAGATTAGGGAAATAAGTTGTGATGCATTACTAAAACTTTGTCATCCCAAATTGTAAAATTTTCCATTTGTAACTTGAATCTTCACAAAATTGTCTCTGTCAAGTTTGCGAAATTGTCTTCTATCAAGTTCCCCAGTTACATATATAGAAGCAATCTGTTTCATTGCACATGATATAAATGATCTCAGTACAAACTTATTCCTCTTCTTTTAGTCAAAATTCCAGTTTGTTCAATCATTTTAACCATGTGAAATATTGTACTGTAAGCTTGTAATGTTTTTCTACATTTCCATATAGTCCGACGTCCTTTTGAAATTAACATCTTAGACGTTTATAAGCTTCTCGATCTATCAGGTCATTAAGGATCCAGGATGTAGCAGTCATTTAGGCGTGAAATTGTATTGGTTTTTTCATATTATGTGAAATAAGGACAAGCCATTCTTGGTTTAATCTCTTACTTGATGATAAAATCCAATTTGTGCTTCTGAGGAAAAAAAAAAAAAAGGTGTAGAAATAGGAACAACATATCAATTATTAATAATACCTCATATATTATAAGAGAACTGGATGTAATGCCATCTTGTCGTCATTTTTGATCTAATGAGTACCTTTGATCTGAAATTTTCGTTATTACCATAGAAGTCCATCGTGGATCCAATGCACTTAACATTTCTTATTTTTATTTCTCGGTGGCAGATTCTATGTGGCAGAAGTCCTGCTAGCTCTGGAATATTTACACATGCTCGGGATTGTATATCGTGACCTTAAGCCAGAAAACGTCCTAGTGAGGGATGATGGACATATAATGTTATCAGATTTCGATCTCTCACTTCGTTGTGTAGTCAGCCCAACATTGGTCAAGACCTCATCATTGGAATCTGAGCCCCTGCGTAAAAATTCTATGTATTGCGTCCAGCCAGCTTGCATTGAACCTGCCTGCATTCAGCCGTCGTGTGTGGTTCCAACATCATGCTTCTCTCCTCGTCTCTTTTCAAGAAAATCCAAAAAGGATGGGAAGCCCAAAAATGAAATTGGAAACCAAGTTAGCCCATTACCTGAGCTGATGGCTGAACCTACCAATGCTCGGTCAATGTCATTCGTGGGAACCCATGAATACCTGGCACCTGAAATTATCAAAGGTGAAGGTCATGGAAGTGCAGTGGATTGGTGGACTTTTGGGATTTTTTTATACGAACTTTTGTTCGGCAAAACTCCATTTAAAGGATCTGGCAATCGAGCTACATTGTTTAATGTTGTCGGACAACCTCTCAGATTTCCAGAATCACCCATTGTTAGTTTTGCAGCCAGGGATTTGATTAGGGGTTTGCTTGTGAAAGAACCACAACACAGATTAGCTTATAAAAGAGGTGCAACTGAGATTAAGCAGCATCCTTTCTTCGAAGGAGTTAATTGGGCATTGATACGTTGTGCTACCCCTCCCGAGATTCCAAAACCTGTCGAGTTTGAACGGTTACCTGTTCCAGCAGCAATAGAGGACGAGAAAACTGCTCTTCCCGTAGCCATTCCAGATCAAAAAAGTGACAAATATCTAGAGTTCAATTTCTTCTAGGTAACAACGGTATTATTGAAATTTATTTTCAATAAAGTTACACTTTAGAATCTTTCTGGGTTGTGCTCCGTCTACAATTATTCTGTACTTTCTTCTTTAACCGCATGAAGGTCAGAGAAGCATGACCAGGCTTCTTGCTGCCTGTAAGAGTCGATGGTTGCCTATCTATTAATGCTTGGAAGGGTTCTCGGGGAGGTCCTTGGTTACAACGCTATCTCTTTGTTCGATTAAATAGAACTTTTCATGGGAGTTTCAGAATATGGGATTCAAACGCATGAAACAAGATTGCGATATTGGCAGGTTGACTTGCATTGCATTGCATTGCTTTGCTTTGCATTTGGCCACTGGACGAACGTCAGTATTAGGAGTGTTTTGTATATGTTTTGTTCAATTACTTGAAGACATTTAGGGACAAAGATTAGATGCACACCTCAAGTTGGTATCCTCTGTATCTGTATTCTCTCGTATATGTTTGTGCTTGACACCAAAACCAGTCATGTCATCATTCATTGTACTTTTGGTTTATACGAAAAGGTTTCGTATAAATCCAAGCAGAATTTCCCCTTTTTTTTTCCTTAAAAAAATAAAAATAAAAAATGAAATTCTGTTGTTGGCATCCATTCTCCATCACACCATCGGAACAAAAATATCGGATGCAGCGATATAGAAATGTTTGGTACATGAAGACACGATCTGATAGATATCTATCTAAATATACTTAGATAAGTATAAATTCATCCTAATCTGTAATCAGTTCTATGTTTCCCATTTCTAGTTGATTCTCTCTTTCGTTGCTGAGAAATCTTCTTAATGTCACATCGTTGATGTCATTGTGTTGCTTCTCAGATATGTGAACTGAATTGAGAGGTGAAAAGGAATTCATGTATTAATCTCAAATATATTGAGAACTAATATTTTATTGTTGAATACGTGTGCGAACAATATCAAAAATGTGAAGAAAAAAGAAAAAGGAAAACTATCCGTGAAGTTGGTCATTGTAGGTTGCTGGTTTTTCTTCGTATTCAGTAAGTTTAGTTGCATTTATCATTTTAGGTTAACCTTAACAATGAGTTCTGAAAATTAGAACTAATATTAAAACGGCAATGCGGTGAGCGTGGATCGAACACGCGACCTTCAGATCTTCAGTCTGACGCTCTCCCAACTGAGCTATCCCCGCATTGGTTGTAAATGGTGAATATTAACAATTAATATATAATTTTTATTTATTTTATTTCAATAGAGAAATATCCGTACAATAATACGTTTTAACCTTAAGAACTATAGTAAGTGAGTTTGCCAATAAAAATGTTGATGCTAAAGATTCAATGCTGTACAAAGAGCTTAGAACTTTCTTTTATCAAACCCAACAATATCTTAAATTTCTAAAGAATAATGCTATTCCCAGTCACTTACTATGACAGTCGCCTTACGTGACATACTCATGACGGGTGGTGCCAATAAAAAATTAACACATTAATACATCAAATAATCATCTGTCATGTATGATGACTGCTATAGTGAGTAACTATGAATAGCCTTATTCATCTCTAAATCATCACTTCAATACAAACAGACGCGGAGCCAGCACCCGGCGAGGGGGCACGGCTGTGCCTGCTGGCTCTGCCGGAATCTACAAAGCCGCCGGGTAAGTACTTGCAGACCGCAGTTGCGCCATTGGAGCCTGGAGGAGAAGAACTGAAGAGTGAATAAGGAAGACGAAGATTGAAGCAGTAACTGGGTTTTAATTTTTTTGGTTGGGTTTGGGCTTAACACTTAAGTATATTAATTTTTGGGCTATTGACTATTGTTATTTAATTTATTTAGCCCAAGCTGCCCAACCCAAATGAATTTAGCCAACCCGTACTCGGTACCCATGTCCCATAACCCATTTTATTTGCCCATTTTCATTTCAATCCGACACTCCCAGCCGGCCAGCCCCAACTCCGTCTCCAAGCCAGCAGAAGACGAGAGGCAGCAGGCGCAGCGCCAAGAATTGCAAATTTCCCCCAAATTACCAAACCCTTTTCCTCAATCTCACTTCTTCTTGCTCCAAATTCACACCACAGACTTCAGGCATCGGAATTTCGGACCGGTGAGTGGTGACTCCTTCTTTCACTCTTTGTTATTATCTTTTTTTTTTTTTTTTGGGTTTTGGTGTTGAACTGTTGAATGTTGATGATGACTGTGCCGTCTGTGCGACTGTGCCTGTGCCGCTGTGCGAGTCGGTGCGACAGTGTGAGAGCGAGATAGTGAGAGGCGAATGTCGATGGGGTTGGAATTTTATGTTCTTGACTTGTGAATCTGTGATTTGTGAAGAATTGTGAATTTGTGAAGAATTTGTGAATCTGTGATTTGTGAACTGTGAATTTGTGAAAAATTGTGATTTGTGAATTTGTGAAGAATTTGTGAATCAGTGAATCTGTGATTTGTGAACTGTGAAGTGATAAATGGAATTCTTGAATGGAAAAGTGAGAATTTGAAGACGGGAATAAAGAATTTTATTATTATTCTTTTTTTTTGGGTACATACTGTCATACATTGTAGAATTAATTATACAATATATTGAGGTTAATAAATCGTTAGACATGAACTCCCTGTTTAAGTTGTATGTTCACAGAATCATAGACTTCACAGTCTAGTATTTACTATTGAGCAGTGAGCATTGAACTAAGAAAAAATGAAGGGGACAAGAGTTGAAAACAAAAATGACACTCAGAATTAGAATTACCTTCTCATAAAGAATTTGACAACAATTTAATGGAATTGGATCTTTGCGATAAATAATGTATTAGTCAAACATAAAGAATTTCTCCATAATGCTATAAATGGAACAAAAACATGAAGTTAAATGTACAGTCTGGTTCAAGACTTCCAATAAGAAACTTGTTGACATTAGGTTTCAATCCCCGTGTTTGATGATGAGTAATTATGTGAATTTATATTTACGAAATTGTATTTGCGAATTGTGATTTATGATGAGTAATTTATGATTTGATGAGGGAATATGATATTAGGAATGATTATTGATTTGGGAATTTACGTTTAGGATGACATTTTGCAGATTATGGAATGATTTTTTCAACCAAAACGAAAGTCCATACCCAATTCTTCTACTTCTAGTTGTGGGTCTAGTCCCGCCACTGATTCTAGTTGAGCACAAGAGTTATTGAATAACACAAAGAAGTCTTGGGCTCAATTGAATGTGGATGATCTTGTATCTGATCCAGGGAAACGGCCCCCTATCGAATCATATGATCCTAATATTAGAGATGTTGTTAGGATGGCATACTTGGAGAAGGGTCCTTGTCAACCATATGAACATGATTTCCCAAGAAGACCGATGGGGAATGATAATAGATGTTTTCGGAAAAAATGGTTCTCCGAATTTCATTGGTTGGAATACAGTATAGAAAAGGATGCGGCGTATTATTTGCATTGCTAACTGTTCAAACTTGATAGAGGGGGTCAAGGGGGTGGACATATATTTACTAAGATCGGCTTTAGGGATTGGAAGCACAAAAAGACATTGAAAGATCATGTCGGTCTCTTTGATAGTTCTCATAATCAAGCTTTTGCAAAGTGTACCAACTTGATGAATCAAAAGCAAAGTATCTCTTACGTTATTTCTAGCCAAAGTAGTAGTCAACAACAAAGTTATAGGACCAGGTTGACTGCGGTGCTAGATTGTACTAGACTCCTCTTGATGCAAGGATTGTCATTTCGTGGTCATGATGAATCGGAAGAGTCTCTTAATAGAGGAAATCTGATTGAGGTATTGAAGGTATGCAGCTTGTTGTAAGGAAATTAAAGAAGTATTATTTAGTAATGCTCCTGAAAATGACCAAATGACTTCACCAACCATCCAAAAGGATTTGATTAATTGTTGTGCTGTAGAGACGACAAGGGCTATTATCAATGAGATTGGTGATTCTTTGTTTTCAATTTTAGTTGATGAGGCTCGCGATAATTCTATGAAAGAACAAATGGCAGTTGTTTTAAGGTTTGTTGATAAAAGTGGGCGAGTGAAGGAGCGTTTTTTGGGTATATCCCATGTCACTGATACTTGTGCCCAATCACTCAAGGATGCCATTGATGCAATATTTTCTACACATGGGTTGAGTATATCTAGTCTAAGAGGCCAAGGCTATGATGGAGCAAGTAATATGTCATGTGAGTTCAATGGGTTGAAAGTTTCTTAGAGAGAACCCGCATGCTATGTATGTTCATTGCTTCGCTCACCAGCTTCAGTTGGCAATTGTATCTGTGGCACGTAGGAATTGTATGGTTGGTGATTTTTTGGACGTACTTGCTATTATTGTGAATTTGGTTGGTGCATCATGTAAGCGTGTAGATGCTCTTCGAACAAGTTATCAAGCTAATATTCTGGAGAAACTTAATACTGGGGAACTTACTGGTGGAAGTGGTCAGTTTTAAGAAATGAATTTGGCACGCCCAGGTGATACTAGATGGGGCTCACATTTATTGACAGTTACTCGTTTCATTAATATGTTTAATGCTATTATAGATGTTCTTGAGAATATATTAGAAGATTCCGTACATTCAGATCAAAAATCTTCGGCCTTAAGACATATGAACAATATGTAAGATTTTGAGTTTGTGTTCAGTCTTCACTTTATGTTTGAAATTCTTGCAATTACAGACGACCTTTCATAAGCCTTACAGAAAAAGGATCAGGATATTCAGAATGCGATGTGATCATTGAATTTGTGTAAGTGTGCATTGCAGAACTTGAGAGAGAATGGTTGGGATACTTTATTCAGTAGGGTGATTGAGTTTTGTGTTGATAGACATATTTTAGTGCCTAATATGGAGGATATTGTAGTGGTGAAAGGTCGACCTAGCCGTGTAGCTCAACAGGTGACTTATTTTCATCGCTTTTATGTTGATTTGTATTGTCATGTGATAGACTCAATCTTGCAAGAGTTGAATGATCGATTTTCAGAAACAACTACTGAGCTCTTTACTTGCATTTCATGTTTAAATCCAAGAGATTCATTTGCAGCTTTTGATAAGGATAAATTGCTACGTTTTGCTCAGTTCTATCCTTTGGACTTCAATAGTGAAGAACTTTTATTACTTAAATCTCAGCTTGATAAGTTTCTTTTGCTTGTGAGAATGGACGAAGCTTTCTTTAATCTCAATAGTATATCCTGTGTAGCTCAGAAGTTGATTGAAACTAGAAGTTCCTGATATTTTCCATTGGTTTATAGGCTGCTCACCTTGGCTTTGATATTACCCGTGGCAACTGCAAGTGTTGAAAGGATATTTTCGGCTATGAATCTAATCAAGAGTGATTTGCGCAACAAAATGGGTGATATCTGGTTGAATGACAATTTGGTGGTTTACATGGAGAAAGCTATTTTTAAACAAATTGAGAATGAGGCAATATTGCAACGTTTTCAAATTATGAGACCCCGTAGAATACAGTTGTCTAAGTTTATAGTTACATAGTAACTGAGTAAGGTTGTATCGTATTTTTTTTCTAACTATTTTGGGTTGTATCGAAGTATATTTTCATATGTATACGTTTTGGACGTTTTAGTTCATTTACGTATATATTGAATAACTTTTAATATTATGTAATCAAATTTTAATAAACGATCGAACAATTACGATTGTCGACAGTCAAAGATCGTCGGTCAATGGTCAAACCACCCTAACTGAACTTGAATCCTGGATTCGCCACTGAATACAAAGAAAAGGAAAATGAAAGTTTTTGAGAAGAGTTATTTAAGTTAAATGTCGAATTGAACTAACTGCACAAGGAAGAAAAACCCACAAAATTTGCCCCAAACCTTGTACAGTCTTATCATAAACATCTCGATAAAGCAGGTTTCGCAAGCTGGACTCTGGCCAATATTACAAAAAATAAAATATATGTTTTCTACAGTTCTGACATTTCCTTTTTCTACATGGAAGGAAACACAGTAGATTCAAAATCCTGCAATCGCTGCCAAACTATTCTTCAGTCGAACATACAACACCTTTGGCGACAGATAAAGCTCTTCAATGTCAATCAGCAAATGAGCCTGAACGTGAGATTAATTCTTACTGCTGCAGCTTTAACACGTTTAGGCACTGAGTGGACCCAATCCCTTTGTGTGTAGCCTCGCATTACCAGAAGCGAGCCATGCTTTAACACGAATGAACGTTGGTCTGAATCATTATTTTTCTTTGTCCGCTTGCCGGGAGGATCACCCCCATTTTCTTTAGCTGGCATAAAAGCCAAAAAATAAAAATAAAAACATTATGATATGAACAGATTTATGTCATTGCAACTGAAATTGTCACTAAATCCAATCATGGGCACTATATCTTTGTAACCAAGTAACTTCTTTTATCTAAAAGTAAGAAAAAGGTAATATATCCTAACTTGTTTGGGAACAAACGAACATGCTCATAGTCAAACCAAAAGGATAAGTTGGTAGATCATACCGTGAACTGTTTTACTGGGTTTCTTCTTTAAGAAGAAATCCCGTTCACATCCAAACGAAACCGAAGCAATTTCTGGAGTCAGTCCATAAAGTTTCTCATCATCAGCATGCCAACCAACATGGTCATTGCCTCCTTTATACCTATTTAACAGTAAGCTATTGAACTTACTTCCTGGAAGTGCTTTATGGACCTACAATGCAACATTTATATGGTACTGTTAGAGTTACCCATCCCAAACCTACACATTACGTTAGATTTGATGCATGTAAAATTACGAGAAAGCCACCTCACCAAATCCAATATCTCCTTAAGGGGAGGAAATTCATCCCAAGAATATGCATGAGGCTGATACCCACTATAGATTAGGTTCGGAAATCCTTCACTTGCAACATAACAAGTATCTCTGGGCTATACAAAGGAATCTATAAGAAATTAACAAACTGTTCTTCACAGAAGCAATATCGAAGATGGATAAAACCACTAATTTGATAACAGAAAGGATAACATGACTAATTTTATTAACTAAACTTAAGCTGAATAGCTTGAAGCTTGGTCTAAGATGCTTTAGGCTATGAAATATAACATCTTTATAGTTTATAATTGCTCATCGTGGCTTATATGAAACTAAAATAACCTAATAGCTTTAAGCAAAAAACTAAGCTTCATAATATGTTCCCCTTAAGTTTTCCCTTCGCAACGCATTTCACCTGATCCTATGACCATTTCTCTTCCTTTGCCAATTTCACGTTCCCTTTCCATTACATTTTGGCCCTGTTTGGGAGCGATTTTTTTCTCTCAAAAAATTGATTTTTTGACCGTTATTTCACTATTCCAATCGTCATATTTGACTTATTCTCTCACATGTGGACCCCACTTTTTTCTTAACGGTCAAAAAATCAATTCTCAAAATAAAGAATATTCCTTTACAGTATCACCAGTGAAGGTAAGGGACGGGTGCTGATCCCTTCTTCAAAATAGCATTAGAAGCATAGAGTGCATATTTAATTTTCAAAAGAATACATACATATGGAAGAACATCTCGAGAGATTCTATTTTTAAAGAGCATATTCTATCATTAGGAGAGCATCTATAAATTTAGAGAGTTAAAATTTTGATATACTACAATAAACTCTTTACATTTAACACTTAATTTTACTATAAAAAAATATTTATTATTTTTTTATATTTTTCATTTTAACTAGTTTTTCTCTAAATTATTTATTATTTTCCTATATTGAAAATTGAAACACTTTGAATGCATTTAAATATAGAGAGTGAGTTTGGAAAGTCAAATTCATTCTCTAAATTAAAATGTTAATTTAAAGAGTCTCTATGAGCACGATTTCAAGGGTTCGAGTTAAAAAGTCTCTTAGACATGATCTAACCCCAGGTGGCATCTGTTCGCCCAAAAATTTATTTTCTTATAATTTATCATTATTTACAAAATGATTCCAATCTAACAGAGAAATTTAAGTTCTTCAACAGGGGGAGAGCCATTATCCTTTAGAGGGATAAAATGCTAAATATTCCATGTAAAATACAAATCTGCTCCAAAACATTCCAAAAACTCATCAATTATATATTTTTGTTAAATAATCATTCGATTAACACCCCTGAAATAATCTAGTTTTATTATGCATTACATGGCAAACATTATTTTCTTCCAAAATTAACCAAAAAATCCTCTCAGACACAAATCGTCAAGAAATTTACTCAAAACAGATATACAAATATATAAATAAAGAGGAAAAACTTTGCTAGCATATATTCAAATACACTATAGACTATAGAGAGAAAAAAAGGGAGAGCAGGACCTGGATACAGGAGCGTCCGAATACACGGACTGTGGGTCGGGTCCAAGGGATGTTCTTATCAAGGTAATGGAAATAATCCCAGGAATCTTGGTAAGACAGAAACTTTGATGTGTACAGAACTTGGCTTCCATTTCCTAAATCTATCCCTGTCATTCCATTTGTTTTCTCTACTGTTGATGCTTCCGGGTCTGAGTTTGGATCCGGATCCGAATGGTTAGTCGGTTCACGTTCTGTTGTTTTCAGCTTCAACATGCGCGTAATCATTTTGCGGTCGCGAGAGAAAGAAGTGGAAAGAAGAGATTTGAAAGGCCTTAATTTTAATTTATAATTGTAACCGGGTTGGACTGGGGGTAATTTTAATATTAACCTAGTTAAATAATCTAAATTTCACTTTGACTTCTCAACAAAGGAATATTATGAAAATGGTCTATCCAATGTCAAAAGACAAAAATACCCTTAAATACATTATACAATTACAAAAGTTGATTTTTTTTAAAAGACATGAATACCCTTTCACTTAACAAATAAAAATCAAGCACTTCTTACGTTTCTTATCTATATACTCCAACACATATAAATAAAACAGTCTCATCCTTCATCTGCTTCAACTGCAAAAACTTAAGAATTTATAGAAATCGAAAATCGAAAAAATGTAATAGATCTGTAATTTTTGAAGTATTTGACCTGAAAAAATTCATCTGCATATTATGTCGGCGCCACTGAATTGACTGTTTGACCTGCTGTTTAACATCCGGTCAGATAGCATGTCGGCTGTTTGCCAACTGTTTTCGTCTTTCCCCCCCTTTTTTGGGTTATTTTTATTGCTGTTGATAATTTTTCTTGTAATTAAAAATTTTGTTTCGACGTGCAGATATGGTTGTAGTCCCAGTTTATTACTTTGGTGATTTCGAATTGGACGAAAAAGAACAATGGGTATAGAAATGGACAAGTGATAAACGTGGTGGTATCGCAATTTCCATATCATCAGGAACATCGTATGCAGAACTCTATAATGATTTACAGAATAAGTTGAATGTTGATTCTTCTCAGTACAACATGAAATTGAAATTTAAATTCAGCGAGCATGCATCAGTTCCGATTCCACCTATAATGATTTCTTCTGTTGATGAAGTAAATTATCTGATTGAACTGAACCATAAGCACACGACTCCTCTTTGCGTGACTTTATTAAGGAAGGATGTCGTCGAAGATGAACAAGTAGACTCGGGAGGTGGGGATCACAATGCTAATGATTTTTGGGATACAGTGGAGATAGCTCGTGAAGATGATGTGGTTATTCCAAAGATAGTTGCACACAGAATTCCCTCTGTTGCTCGTGACAACGAGAATGAAAATGCAAACACTTTTATAAACGAGGACTTGATTGGTTTATCCCAGTAGAGACATGAGTGGGGTGGCACCTCAGGAGCTAGATAGAGTGGACCGTTCTCTAACTCCTCACGTGTGGTTCCTGATAATGAGGATTTGTATGTCGAGCAATTGTTTGAAAAGAAGAAGGAGTTGCAAGAAGCCGTGCACCTAATTGCACTGAACTACAACTTCGAGTTTAGAGTGGAAAAATCGAATAGGTCGTTGTTGACGCTATCATGCGTAAATGATAGTGGCAGTTGGCGTTTGCAAGCAACGAAGATAGACACGAATAAGTGCTTCGTAATCCGTAAATATACACGAGAACATACTTGTGAAGTGGGAATTTGTCGTAATGATCACACGCAAGCCCGAGCTTGGTTTATTGGTTGACAGCTAATGCACAAGTATCAGGACCCACGGATAATTTACAGACCATCAGACATCATTAACGATATTCGTCGAGAGTACGGAGTAGTCATGAGCTACCAGAAGGCCAGGAAGGCCAAAGAATGGGCATTGGAGGATTTAATGGGCTCGGCAGAGGAAAGCTATGTTAAATTAGTCAGGTATTGTCATAACATGGAGAAAACTAATCATGGCTCGATATTTTTTATTGAGACGGAGGCCGATAATTGCTTCAAATTCTTCTTTATGGCTTTTGGACAATGCATTCGGGGATTTCGAAATGCTATGCGTCCCCTAATTCTAGTCGACGGTACAACTTTGAAATCCAAATACCAAGGCTAGTTGATTATTGCTACATGTCAAGATGCCAACATTCAAATTTACCCTCTTGCATTCGACATAGTTGATAACGAGAATAATCTGTCGATGTGTTGGTTCTTCACAAAGTTAAGGGAAGTAATCGGAGAAGTCGAGAACCTTGCATTTGTCACCGATCGGGGATAGTCTATAATAAATGGTATTGCTTAAATTTTTCCCGATACACATCATGAGTATTGCATGTACCATATACAAGGCAACTTGAGGCATCATTTCATTGTTTAAGAGAGCGGTTGAAGCTTACAGTATTGTAGAGTGTAATAGGTACATGGTTGAAATTGGAAGCAAATCATTCCCGACATGGGACTCTCTAATGAAAATGGGGATTGAACATTGGGTGCGCTCATATTTTCCAGGACGTCGATACTAGGGTTGAGCAAAACCCAATCCAACCCGATCAACCCAAACCAACCCGATTGGTTTGGATTGGTTTTTTAAATTCAACTGGGTTGGGTTGGGTTGAAAAAATATTTTTGAGGTTGGGTTGGGTTGGGTTTCGGGTTATGATTTAAAACCCAACCCAACCCAACACAACTCGATGAATTAAAAAAAATAATATCTAAGATGAAAAAAAAACTTAAATAAAAACAATAATAAAAATATGAAAAGGACTTATAATTTATAAACGTCCATTTTTTTTAATATAGATTGATTCATATAAACATAATTTACAAATGAAATGTTATTTCATAATAAAGTAAAAATTAAGAAGATGATGATGAAATGAATAAATCCCAACAAATTGTTAAAATAACAACAACAACAACAACAACAACAACAACAATAATAATAATAATAAATACTTCATAAATTTTAAACTTATTTATACATAATTTTTCAAAAAGAATTCCTTACATAGGTATTTAAAAAAAAAAATCAAAGATTTTCAAATAATTTCAAACTTTAAAAATTTATCTAAATTTAACAAAAGTATAATCGAATCCAACCTTAATTGGACCGAAACCCAAACCGACAAACCCAAACTTGATCGGGTTGGATTTAACCCATTACTTGGGTTGTGTTGGATTAGGTTGACTTTAAATAAAATCGATAATGTTGGGTTGGGTTTGGGTTGGGGAAAAAACCAACCCAACCCAACCCATGTCCACCTAGTCGATACAACATGATAACGTCAAACAACGCGGAGTCTCTCAATGCATTATTTAAGAGGGATCGAGAGTTACTCATTCTCGCACTGATTGAGAATATCCGTATGAAGCTACAGCAGTGGTTTCACGATCGATGTGCGGAATCACATAATTGCACAACTGTGCTAGTCCCAGTACAAGAGGTAAAGCTCTTCAAGGCTGCAGAGGCTGGGAGAAAGTTAAATGTCGAACTACTAGACGAGTCGCGCTTCTCTGTGGAATGTGCACGTCATACGGCATATATGGTAGATTTAAGTGATGGAACATGCACTTGTAAACAATTTCAGTTAGAAAGTTTTTCATGTGAGCATGCAGTTGCGGTGGCTATGTATCGAGGATTTACAGCGAGAATATTGTGCCATCCTTATTACACTGCTGAAAACTGGAGAGTTGCGTATGTTGAAACCATATTTTCGCTTCCAAATGAAGTCGAGTGGGAAGTTCCCGATCATATTCGTCCGTTCAATACATTGTCACCACCTCTCATTGAACCACGTGGTCCTGGACGTCCAAGTACTTCTAGAATACCATCTACTGGAGAGTTTTCCCGATCGCGTAGGTGTAGCAGGTGCAAATCAGTAGGACATACTCGCCAATTTTGTACAAATCAGGTTCCCCTAAATGACAGTTAGAGCATTGTGTATTTCCATTGAAATGAATAGTATTTACATTGAAATAAACTGTATTTACATAAATAATCACAAAAAATAATTAAAAATATTAATTACAAAAAATATTTACAAATAATTTATGGATCACAATTAAATTCGTATAAATCACACGTTGTAAATTCTTATCCAAGACTTGTATCATTTGATGATGCCATGTGAATCGCAAACTTATTTCGCCAATTCTGTATCCATGACTGGTTGATTCCATCAACCTTATGTGCTATACTCAAAAATATTATGTATTTGATTGCGAAAATCCTACAATCGTCCTTGCAAATGAACAAATATGTGTTAGTTCGGTTCCAATTATGTACGAACTGATTACTAAATTTAAAAAAAGAAGAGTGCAAAGACTTACGGTATAGACTGTCTCGTCGCCGTCGTGTCCCGCACGATGGCTAGTTTGTCATCCACAGTCAAGCCCGCATGTCTAGCCATCATAGGAACAATCACAATCATCGCCCCTAAGATCTGCTCGAGCTATCCCTATGTCAGACATGAATGATCGGAGTCGTACACATATATCGTCGAATCAGGGAACAAGATCTCCAGTGCAATACAGTGCTGATTCGCGATAACTGAAATGTACAAATGCGTACAACCCTCCCATGGCTTTCTCTCAACACTCGGTGACAGCCCGATGACCCACTCGAGCATATACGCGGGAAGCACGTACTCGTTACCTAGAAGCTAGAGGGAGTGATACTCAATGGTAACGGCACGGAAGAATTCGGTGTTCAGTATAATGCAGCTAGACTTGTGGAATGATTGTGGATATCTCTCAACTCAATCGCGCAATAAATCCATGGCCATGTTGATGTGCTACATCAAGGAAAACAAAGACATAAATACTTATTTCATTTACCAAATTAAACATAACGTATACAAAAAGTAACAATAACACTTCACTTACATTGTCGGCGAGCCAAACCCCCCTGAGTGGTGATACAAAAAGGAAAATTTTTTTTAATTAAATTATTAAATTATTTGTGAAAAAAATTGGGCAAAAAAAAAAAAAAGTGGGCCGATTGCTATCTCCAGTAAATCCGTACAATGGAGTGGTGGTGGGCGTCAACTGATGGTCCAATATCATTTTGTCAAAGGCGGACCCAAACAGGATCTTAACGGAGCTGCCGTTGTCGACTAGCATTCGTTTGAGCCCATTCCGGGCTATGGCAGCCCTCACCACAAGCGCATCGCAATGGGGGTAATGAACTCCTTCGACGTCTTCCTGAGTGAAGACAATGGGTGGTACTTGATTTCTTCGGGAGCTATTGTCCACAATGTAACTCGTCAAAGGGGGGTGTTTAGCCTCCCGAGCATAATTTCTTTTGGCGTTTCGTGTTTCACCACCAACATAAGGGCCTCCAAATATGGTATCCACCTCGTGGATAGGGGCCTCATCTTGAGCGTGCCGATTTTTTCGGTGCCTACGCCCTTCCCTAGGCCTCTCTGCATCATGCTCCCTTCGTCGTGGGGATTCATCCCTTTGACGGGGAGCGGCCTCCTCACGCTGACGTCGATTATCGTGCCTGGGTGGGGGCCTATTCGCCTGGGACGAATCATGTCTGTCTCTGGCGGGTTCCTGCCGGGAGCGGTGTGCGTAGTCTCTGCAATCTGCGGTGTCATGCTTGTAGGACCTGTGGTGCAAACAGTATCCTAGGAGGTTCGGATTGGACCTATTTCTAGGTGCAAAGCCTTGGCCTCTCCCTCTGTGGGGTCCCTACAGGGCCTCCATCTGATGTGGGTCAGAAATTGGGTTGACATCCTCATATGCCAAGGTAGGAACCGCGTTCAGAGTTGTGGTGGCCAGTGCTTGTCCAGAGTTCCCATTTCCAGTTTGGTTCATCTGGTAGTCCATGAGGTGGGAGGTCGGACCCCTACCTCGCTGCCTTTGAGGAGGTGGGAGGCCTCTGCTTGCCCTGTTCCTATGCTCAATCAATTCTTCATTGATTATCTCCCTTCTCATCATCTCTAGTAGGGCGTCATAGGTGGTGGGGTCTTGATTCTGCACATCCCTCCAGAACAGGGTGTTCATGTTCAGGCCTCTTCTCAACGCAGATAGTGCTTATCTATCGGTGACTTGTACGCAGTAAGTTATCTCGTCCGTGAAGCGTGATAGGAAGCTCTTTAGGGACTCCCCATGTGCCTGTCTCATGTCTTGGAGACGCTGGATGGGGGCCTTTCCTTCCTTGCTCACTGTGAATCGCTTCAAGAATGTTGTCTTGAACTCGGGCCAACTTCAGATGCTCCCAGGTGGCAACCTGCTATACCAGATTTCAGCCGCTCCACTGAGGGTTAAGTGGAAAGCCCTGCACTTCACGGCTGGGGTGGCACCCCTCAGGCTCATTGAGTTTTGTAAGCGTTGAGGTGCTTCTCCGGGTCGCCTCTCCCGTCATACTTTGGTATTTTTAGCATGACGTAGTGGCTCGGGACTTGGGCATTCCTTAGTTCTCTTGAGAATGGCAGGTTCTCATCATCATCGTCCAAGTCATAGGACCTCTGCTGCTCATCAGAATCGTAGTCATCGGCCTCGTACCTTGGTTGTTGGTGAGAGGGTCCAGGCTGGTTCCTAGCCTCTTCCTCCATCCTTTGTTGCCTACTTCTAGGCGGGGCAGCACGGGGGGCATTTTCATGCCTTCTCTCCGGCTGCTGGTGCATTGGAGGTGGAGGCTGTGGCCTCGTCCGAGGCTGCTGAGCCTGCTGTTGACTGAGCCTCGGTTCGACGGGGCTGATTCTGTCAAAAACACTGCCAGCTCTCCTATGTCTTGGATCTTGCTCATATGGAGGTGGAAAATCATCGTGGCTCATTTGGGCCTCGGTGGGTCAGCCAAAAGCATAGTTGGAGAAAATGTCGACTCCCACTTCCCTCTCGAACGGGCTTCCACCTCGGCCATAGTCTGGCGAGGCAACCCTATGACTCTGAACCTCGTCCTCTTGCTGATAGTGCCTGTGGGGGGCGTATGGAAGAATGGGGAAGCCTCTCTGGCCTTGCATTTGGGCCATGAGCTCCCTCATGGTCAAGTTTTGTTTGGCAATATCCTTCATGTTGGCTGCCATGGTAGCCATTTCTCTTGACAGTCGTGCTATCGCACGCATTCCACCTATCCTTTGGTGGTGGTGGAGCTTCGATCGAGCTGCTGGGGCAGCAGGTTGGGGAGGCACATTCGTGCTTTCTGTTACCCTTCTGGGGGGAGTATCTTCGTTAGAACTCATTTTTCTTTTATCAAACTTAGATTTGTCCAAGTGATTGGGGTTCCTCCTGTACTTTTTCAAGAACAAATCCTTTTTCAAGGGGGGTTGCCCGAATGTTTTTCAGTAAGCTTTTACCACAAGGTTGCTCATAGTTATGGTATGGTTTTCTACAGACGGCGCCAATCTGTTGACCCCAAAAAGTGCGCCAACAGATGCCGGTCCCACCCGCGCTTGCTTGGGCGAATGTCCAACACGCTAAGACACGTGGACGATCTAAAACGAGCGGTTCAAAGGGCGTGGGAGTAGCCCAACGACGCGGGACGGTGACGTTCGGAATCCGGCGGGTTGTTCGTAATCCGATTGTACAATAATTACCAACCGGTGTTTATGAATGTATATGTAAATGTGTATAAACTCGATTTGTGTATTGTAAGTAAAATGAGAGAGAGTTGAGTAAATGTAGTTCTTTGTATTGATTTTTGCATTAGCCTTTTGATATTACACAAGGGAAGTATTTATAGTAGTACATATAAAATGGGAGCCCTTGGATGAAGTGGCACGTGGCCTCATCTCTTTAGTTCAAACATCTTTTACTAGGTATGGGGCTTGACTTGCTAGCTTGCGGCGCATTTATTGCTTGTGCAGAGCCTCCATGCTAGTGACAAGACTTGACGTTTATGCTTATGACAAACGTTCCATCAATCATTCGAATAAGATCTGTGCAGGTGATTGCTTGGAAGAAGTGACCATGGAGGATGTTTCTTTGTGGTTTAAAGGCTCGCGCATCAGCTTCGGGGCTTCGGCCATTTGTCATGATACTTCCACTTGAGGGCCTCAGCTGCTCTCAACAGGTTCCAGCAGCTTGGCTTCGATTCGTAGGTCTCGGTCAATGGGCCTCAGACAAAAAGGAGCCTCGGCTCGCACATCAGCTTCGGGGCTTCGGCCATTTGTCATGATACTTTCACTTGAGGGCCTCAGCTGCTCTCAACAGGTTTCAGCAGCCTGGCTTCGGTTCGTAGGCTTTGATCAATGGGCCTTGGACAAAAAGGAATCTCGGCAAATGGACTTCGGTTGGAAGCAGTTCGGATGTAGCCCACCTCGGCATTGTGTGTCACCTCGGCAGGAATGCCACGTGGATCGCCATGAGTGGGCCATTGTCCCATATAGGTTGGCCAGATGTGACAACACGCAACACCGACTGTTACTATTTATGAAGATAATATTATTTATCAAAAACTAATAATAAAAATAAAAATAAATATTAAATATTAAATTTCAAATTAAATTTCCAACAATTATTTCAAATTACAATTAAAAATTTCCCAACAATTATTTCAAATTATTATTTACTAAAAATGAAAAAATAAAAATAAATATTAAAACAAAAATTAAATGTAAAAATTTTATTTAAATTTAGTCGTAACAATTTTATTTAAATTCGACAAACTAAATAATTTATTATTTATTAAAACCAATAATAAAAAATATTAAATTTAAATTATTAAAATATTTGTGAAAAATATAAATTGGGCAAAAAAAAAAAAGGAAAAAGTGGGTCGACTGCTTAAGAGTCGGCCAAATCAACTTAAAACAGTCGATGTGGGCCAGCCCACACCAACTGCGGAAGGTATTGGGCCGACTGTTAAGCCGGCCCAATACCACTGCTACCCGACTGTTAACAGTCGGGTTTTAGCCAAAATGGCCGGTTGCTCTTCACCCTTTCTCGTCGAAAAATCACCATTTTCGACGAGGAGAACTTCCAAATT